TCTCAAGCACTTGCATAGCATTGACCACATACCTAGAATCGGAGACAATATTAATGGCTTCTGAGAACCGTTCAAGAATCATTTTAATGATCTGCAGTTCTACCACCTGAGGCTGATCAGGTTCAAATTGTATGGTAACCGGGGGCTTGCCTAGGATCACATAGGCGCCTATCCCCGTCTTGGAGCCATCTGTGTATATTGTAGTTGCTGGGACTAATGGCTCAGAGGCAGTAACCTTTGGAAAAATTACAGGGTGCTGAGTGACAAATGACAAGATAGGGTCTTTAGGGTATTGATTGTTTATATCCCCATGGAAAACACATCTCAGAATGGCCCATGTATCTATGCAGGCAGCCAGGGTCTTGATCTGGCTGGCGGTATAGGGTACTCGGATGGCTTGTGGTCCTGAGCCAAAATGTTGGACAGCTCTATCATGCGCCTCAAGGGCCAATGAAGCGACTGCCTCCGGGTAATGCTCTATGACTTTTGCAGGTGAGACCTTAGGGTGTATCCACAGTAGTGGTCCTTTCTGCCAAATCACCGCTGTGGGCTGTAGACTAGTCTGTAGCAAACAGACATCAAAGGGTCGCCCTGGTTCAATTCTGTGTAAGGTAGCCCCACCTAAGGCTTTTTCCACTCTCTGTAAGGCAGCTCTTGCCTCAGGAGTGAGCCTCCTGTGGGAGGCTATATCTGGGTCTCCCTTCAGAAGGTCGAACAGGGGTTTGAGATCTGAATTTGGTATATGTAAATATGGCCTAATCCAATTAATGTCTCCCAATAGCTTTTGCATGTCATTTAGGGTCCTAACGCCATCCGTCCTAATGGTGACCTTCTGCGGAGAGACTAGCATAGGGGAGATTCTCGCGCCTAAGTAGGTCACCATTTCTCCTCCCTGAATCTTGTCGGGGGCAACATGCAGATTGGCTTGTCTCAGGGCCTCGACCAACTGGCCGAGCATATTATTTAGCATGTCTGGGTCCCTGCCGCTGAGCAAAAGGTCGTCCATGTAATGCACACATCTTATCTTGGGAAAGGATTTCCGTAGGGGGGCCAGTAGGGAATCAAGGTAAATCTGACATATAGTGGGACTGTTGGCCATACCTTGGGGCAGCGTTATCCACTCGTATCTGAGATCAGGGCTTTCTTGGTTAATGGTGGGTAAAGTAAAGGCGAACCTATGGGTGTCCTCTGGATGCAGGGGGATTGAGAAGAAACAGTCTCTAAGATCTATAACATAAATCGGCCAAGACTGAGGGATGGCTGAGAGAGCTGGCAGCCCCCTCTGGACCGCCCCCAGGGACTGCATCTGCGCGTTGACCGCCCTTAGATCATGGAGCAGCCTCTACTTGCCAGACTTTTTCTTAATTATAAAAATGGGGGTGTTCCATGGGGAGGTCGACGGCTTAATGTGTCCTAATCTAAGTTGTGCACTGACTATTTCTGACAAGGCTAATAGCTTCTCCTTAGGCAGGGGCCACTGAGGTACCCAGACCGGATCATTTGATTTCCAGGTGATTTTAATCGAAGTGGGTAGGAGAGCTTTTTCAGCGGCCCCTAAGAAAAACCCAGCCCTTGCCTACCTTTTTTGTTCTCTACTGGTATTGGGGATGTCCGACCCTGTAGGGCATTGCCCAAGCCTTTGCCGGGGGTATATCCCTGGTTCCTGAGTATATCCTTAGCCTGGGGGGAGCAGTTTGACGTAAGCGTGACATCCATCTGAGTGAGGATGTCCCTTCCCCATAGAGACACTGGCAACTGCAACACAAATGGTTGGAAATGGCCCTGATGACCCTCCTCATCGCACCAGAGCAGGGTTGAAGCACTAACCTGAGGAGCTGACACCATCCCCAGGCCCTGCAGCGTGTTATCTGCAGTGTTGGTGGGCCAGTTGGAAGGCCAATCCTTTTTGGAGATAATGGAACGGTCAGCTCCTGTATCTAGGAGCCCTGTTATATTCTTGCCATTGACCTTAAGTGAGAGCATGGGCCTTTTATCAAGTGTCATATGGAGTCCCTCGAAGACTTCCCCTGAGGAACCGAAACCTTGACTTTCTCTAATTTTCTGCTTTGAGGGAAATCTCTTGTGGAGACTGGGGAGCAGCAAGAGCTGCGCTATCTTGTCTCCTTTATTGATTACCATAGTACCCCCAAGAGATTGAACCATAATTTTAATATGTCCTGTGTAGTCTGAGTCTATGACCCCCGGGACTACTGTGAGACCCCGAAGGGCCGTGGAGGATCTCCCGATCACCAGACCCACGGAATTTTCGGGTAACGGTCCCTTAAAGGTGGTTTCAACCACTTGAACACCCATGTCAGGCACTAATATAAGTCTGGAGGCGACACTGAGGTCCACACCTGCTGACCCAGGGGTGGCCCTTGTTGAAGGCTGCCATCCTGAGCTGTCCTGTCTCTGGGGCGGGGGCCCGCCTGTGAGGGGGGCCCCCTCTGGCCGTTTTTTGGCTCTCTAGCATCTCGTCCACAAATACGGTTGCCCTGAGCATCAAAGACCGACCTACACTCCTCAGCTTTGTGTGATCCCTTCTTGCATCGCCCACAAACATATGGTTCTTCATTCCTAGGACGGGGCCTAGCATCTGCATTGTTTGGGCAGTGACGTTTAATGTGTCCTGGCTCCCCGCAGGCAAAACACCCTCTGGCCTTACATTCCCCTCCTGACCCGCGAGGTCCCCTCTGCTGTACAGCCGCGGCCAGGAGAGCAGCCACTCCCGAGTTGGAGAGCGGCCCCCCTATCTCTCTGCATATCCTAATCCAGGTGTTGAGGTCCTTGTTCTTATGAGGGGCTATCGCTGCCTTGCACTCCTTTGTACATTGCTCGAAAATCAGCTGCCTTACCAGTGGTCGAGCCACTCCCGGATCAGAAAATATTTTATCGGCAGCATCTTGCATTCGGGCCACAAAGTCAACAAATGGCTCTGTGGTACCCTGAATTATTTTTGAAAGACACAAGGAGGCTGTTCCGGCACCACTTACCTGCTTCCAGGCGCGGAGCCCTATGGCATTGATTTGTTCATAGACAGCGCCGGGGAACTGAGTCTGATCATCAGCGTGCCGACCTTCTCCCATAAGCATTTCCTTGTTCCACCCCCGGTTTCCCCGACTGGCGTTTCTCTCAGCCTGCTCTGCAGAGAACTCTGCGTACCAGGCTCGCCAATCCAGGTAACTACCCGAGGGCAGACACGCCTTTGCCAGCTGAATCCAGTCCGCGGGGGTGAGGGGCCCAGAAGACAGGTTCTCCAGCATGGCAATGGTGTAAGGCGCAGTCGGCCCAAAGGTTGTAACTGCATTTTTAAGTTCTCTAATCTGCTTTATCTCAAAAGGCTCCCATGCATTACGTCCCTGGCCCATAGCTACTTGTACAGGAAATATCCCGTAGGGGCCACTATCTATCCCAGGTGGTGGATGTACCTCATGAGACAAACGTCCCCCCTGCCAAAGCCGCCTGTAAAAATACCGACCCACCGGTGGCGGAGCATAAGACGGCGGCCGTGATTGGGCGGAAAATGGGGGCCCGTGCATCACTTCCTGTTCTGGCGAAGAGGAAGGGAGCTCCCGGGCGGCCGCCTCGTGGCGAGGGATCGCTTCCGGGAACAGCCCCCAAGGTGGGGCGGAAGGCTTCGCCTCCCTCTCGCGCCAGGGGGCGCTCAGGAGCTCTCTACTCCTCCGCAGACCAAGTTGAGCAGAGCGCAATTCGCGGCGCAACGCTGGGAAAGAACCCTGCAACTCCTTATCGGGCGGCCTATCCTCTTGGCATCTAGGCTCCTTGGTCTCATCGTTGTCTAAGCCTTCCTCGTTCTCGGAGTCAGATGACTCCGAGGCCTGAGCCCCGTCTTCCTCCTTTATATCTTTGTCTCCTTTGACGGACCCTTCCCGGGAGCTCCCTGACTGGGCCTGTTTGAATGCCCTACGCACTTTAATGAGCTCTTGAGAACCTTCCCTGCAACCACCCTCGCTCTTCAAGCATGCATATATCATTTCCCACAGTGGCCGAGCGAAGACCGAAGCCTTGCCCTCCCTTTCCGCTAGAGAAAGATCCCTGCCCAACTTCTCCCACGAGGGCAGGTTTAAGTGCCCTGTGGGCAAGAACCAGGGAGCGAAACTATCAATCTCCTCAAAAAAGCTCTCCAGCGTTTTGCGTCCCACCTTGAGGTCTCTGGACTTTAAGAGCTTCCGGAGGACCTGTACCAAGGGCTGGGTGTCGTTACTCGGTACGTTACCCATATTTAATATGTTACTCACCGCGTGAGGCCCAAAAATCCGCCACTTACGCGTGAGCCTGAGGGGAGTCTAAAAACCCTGTAGGTGCGCGCCACCCAGGGCCCAGGTTTATCCCCTGCTCACCTGTCTCGCAGTGCTGTATCAAGGAACGTTGTCCACTACCACGTCTCGGGGGTGATCAGTTGTTCCCCGTGCGGGCCTCCAAATGTCGATGTCGCTCCCGGCCGGCAGGAAGGACACACGACAAAGTCTGGCAGTGGACAACCTTTTCTTTTATTTTCTCTCCATACAGCCTGCCCTGGGATCGCTCCCAGCCGAAGCCTCCTCTGGTCCGCTCCCCGCGGCTCCTTCCGTGCTTCGCTCCGAAGCCTCTACCGGTCCGCTCTCCGCGGCTCCTTCCGGGCTTCGCTCCGAAGCCTCTACCGGTCCGCTCTCCGCGGCTCCTTCCGGGCTTCTACTTCCCCCCAGGGGTGGCACCAGTATATATACGGATACAGTGTCCAATCATATTAAAGTAAGCAAGGCAAGCTGATTGGCTAACATATTATTGAGCGGGTTGTTTACGCGGTAAGCAGGAAACTAACGTGCTCGATGGGAGGGGTAATCTAACTCAGGCTTTGCTCTTTACCACAGGCCGCATGATCGCTATATGCGGCAGCTCGGCAATGTGGTGGCTCCCAACAATAACACACTTTCTCAAACTATAGAGTGACATATCGATACTTATATTTTTTGCCTCACACAGGTTTTTCCTTTATAAAGATGACCGAAGAACCCACAACTTTTACTACATTAAACAAGACCTCTAAGCAGAAACACACAAGAAATAATGACATTAAAAATAAATACAATTCAAATGCATTGCCAGTCATCGAGGAGGAGGTAAAACAGCACAAACATTATAAAAAACACAAAGCCACAGCAGGAGACATCGCCAGCAAAGGTATAGCACTGTATTTCATAAACATGAAGGGAATGTTGAAAATTAAGTAGTGAACTATGTTACGCATAGATACAAAAATATGTTATAAAGTTTTTCTAAGTTTAGTTAGAAAATATACAAGTAAAATTTGAATTTCATGTTGATTATCGCAAAGGCCAAATGATCAATGTTATAACTAATTTAAAAAATAATTTTAGACATTACATGATTATGGAAATAATTGATTCATATTTCAATGAAGAGTAAAATTTGAGCAAGTATGACAGGTTGGAAGTAAATTCTTTTGTTGCAGAACTTTAAAAGTCAAAGTGTGGAAAAATCAGAAGACAAGACTGCTTCCAGGACTGGGATCAGAAAAGTCATTCAAGAACCCTGAGAATATTACTATGCAAGAGTAAACATGTAGTTGGCCAGATCACCTTGTGGCATACAGTTCATAGCACCATCTTCTACAGCATTATTTCCTGAAAAAAGAAAAGATGAATACACTTCTTTCAAAGTTGGACCTCAAAGTGGCTGTTAGCAAAGATAAAACTAAATCCTAAATAGTTTTACACAATTAATATAATGTAAACTTGCGGGTCTTGGCTTCTGGAATTTTGAGCCTGGCTGCTGCAGGCTTTTGTTTTCCAGGCTTAGTGATCTGGAAAAGACATGAAGGGAGGCTTATAGGCTTGCAAGGTGGTTGGCAAGCTTTTCAAAAAGTAGAAGCCAATTTTACATAGTCGTCAAAAATAAACCATTGAAGTTTTCCTGGATTATTTTTTCAAAACCATAAACACATTTCAGTAAGCTTGTTCTAAATTGGCAATAAAATTCTAAGAAAATATTATACTTCTAAAGAAAAAGGTGATAGATTATAGTTATGTATTGACCAAGGAAATGCACGTTTATTAAACAAGGTGTTAAAATATAGTCTGTATTTTTAGAACACACTCCTGATGCTATTTGATTTTATACACATGTATTTGATCTGTGGTATACAGTTTTTCTTTGTAATTTACTTTCTACTTAAATTATAAAATGGAAAATTTCCACACACTGTATAAGTTTGTGTACTTGAAGTTTAAAACAAGCAAAATAATTTAGTAGCAACAGAAATAAAGGTGGTGGTTCCCTTTTGATATTGGAGTAGGTAATGAGAAGCCTCCCCACTAGTTTAGGGTGGTGAGCAGATGTGTTCAAACTGAAAATTCATCCAAATATTTGCTTCTGATAAGTGTACATATCTGAATGCTTGCTAGACTTCAAATATTTACTTAGACCAAAAGAAAGAAGGCAAAATGTAAATTGCCTGTGATAATTATGGGAGACTGTGAGGATTATTGGTGTTAAATGATTTTTTTGTGACTTACTGAGGTTTTTTCCTTTGAGGATCATATTCTGTTTTGACACTTTTATTATGGTCCGTTTCAGGGACATCTGTTTGAATTCTTACTTTAGAAATTAACATTGTTTGTAAGACTATTTGCTTTTAATTAGAAGTAGGGTAAATTCCCTAATTAGGTTTCAAGATTCTAATTTTAGTTTCATTTTCCTGTTTTCCAACATTATGCTAGACCTTAGAGAAATTCTATAAGAATCACTACTGTCATTTTTTAAAAATTGTATTCTATTTATTGATATAGCCTAATTTGAGAAGATCTAACTTTCCAATTACAAACGTAATTTGTCTGTCCTTTTGAGATTTTATATATGACAGAAAAGGTTATGTTTCTATCTTGTGGCAGATTAAAGACCATTTCTGAGATTCCTGAATTTGAATCCTCAAGTATCTACCTTATAGGCATCTCTCTGTACCTAGAAGAATACACAGCTGACACACACGCTAGAAAAGCTCAAGGAAAAACAGCTTCATTGTTCAAATTAACAAACTAATTGTCTCAAATCAAACAGAAGTCATGATAAGCCATAAAAATCTACCCTAGTTTGGTGGAGCATGAGCAGCTTGGACGACGCCTTTTCTTAAGAATCCTACCCCATTTGACACCTTGTTCTCTAAAAGGCAGGATAGTCACAATGACTTTAGACTTTGTGCTTTTTAGCCAAAAGAGAGAGAAGGTGAAATAACTGACTGATCATAGGAATTTAACTAGCTTAAAGCCTAAAGAAATTATAATTTAAAAAAAAGCAAGCTGCCATGAAATGATAGTGAAGCCTTTGATATGTTCCCTGCACAGAAACCTCATTTGTCATTCTTTTGACTTTTATGCATTTCCTGTAGGGGAGGTAGTACCTCATACAGGCAGTGGTGAACATTTTTAAAATAATATGGGTGGCAAAAATAAAAAATACTTGAACAAGAATGAAATTATTATTAAATGTCACTGCGGGGGCTGGGGATTTAGCTCAGTAGCATAAGTGCCTGCCTGGCAAGTGTGAGGTTGTGAGTTCAATCCCCCGGTACCAAACAAAAAAATAAATAAATAAATGTAAGTCATTAGGATTTAAAGTGAAGTTTGAGATTCTATGTGTGAACACCACGCTGCTCAGTGCCTTCCAGAACTCAGTTCTGCCATTAGTTGATTATATGAGCAAACAATCTATGCAACAAATAAGGTTTTTACTTCTATTATTTTATTATAAAAATCATGAGTTATTTGCATATATTCTTAACTTATGTATATTTATATTTCACATATTGATTATTTTACACTATTTTCATATGTGTATGAAATGGTCCCAATATACTAGTTTACCATACACCCTTCAGAAGGTATATGTTTTTAGGAAAACTTCATTATTTACTTTTAAAAATTGGGTAAAAATATTCCATATGTCTGAGAATCAAGAAAGAACGACTGTTTAAATGCACTTTTGACTGTAAAATGCTCTGGAAATGCTCTATTTGGCTTGGATTCTTACTCTCATTCTGTCTGGTTTTGATTCTGGGTTTTGGTTTTGATTCTCTCTTAGGGGATTCCTCTCATCTGCCATGGAAGCTCTTTTCTAGTGTCCTTGGCATCAAGTTTCTTCTCCTGATGGGTGGAGCTATCACAGTGGCTGTTTTTATTACAAACTGTGAGTAAATATAGTCTTCTAAATTGTTTTATGCTCTGGAGAGCTATTCATTTCATAGAAGGTAATCAAAGCCTGCACTCACAACAGTTTTATCTTACAAACTTTTTCCTTGCTTGAAGATATGCCTGAAGGTTGGAGCATTTGCCTTGCATGTATAAAGACTTGGGTTCGATTTATAGCATGTCTGTACCAAAATTGTTTTTTTATGTTTTTATGTTTTAAAAACTTGCTCATTTTTTCTTATAGACTATGGCATTTTCTTATTTCATTTTGATGTGTCAGTGTGAAACAAAATGTAATATGATATTGATTCTTTTTTTAGCATCTCCCTTAAAAACGTCTCCTACAATCCATCAAAAAGGTAGGCGATGGTTATGGCCTGACTTCTTACAAGCAGGAAAGGTATTTTTTATTCATATCAGTTCTACAATATAGAGTCATTTTAGGGAAACTACTTCAGCATGTGTCACAGACTTCTAAGATCCCAGATAATAAGTATATGAGACAGAAATTTATGTATAGCTAACTGAAATATGATATATCAGAGGTAAGTTAGACCTCATAAGTTCTAGAGGAATAGAATTTATGTGAAAAGAAATTTTGGAAAGGTACAGTTTATATTAAAAGGGTAAAATTTTAACAACATAATTAATCTAATTATTATATAACAAGATGTTTAAAGCCATCAAAAGTGATTAACCACAATGGAAGCAAGAATTATGGTTCAGCTACTCTATGTTACATAAATTATCTAAAAGGGTAGGGACAGGTTCAAAGATAAAAACAGAAGTTTATATTTCCCATTAGTAACTTTATTAAAGTGAAATTCTGTTATCTTTACTATTGCTATATTATGAAATATACTTTGCCATAATTTTATGAAGTATACTTTGCATGTTTTGAACAAGTAATAAGTAAAATTGCAACTGTAAATCTCTTTAGTGTAATCATGGAAAATCTCTGTCTAGGGCCTCACTGTCAACCTTGTCCAAAAGATTGGATCTGGTTCAGATGTAGCTGTTATTACTTCTCTGTGAAGAAGCTAACTTGGAGTAAAAGTCGACATGCATGCATGTCTCTAAATTCCAGTCTCTTGAAAACAAACAAAGAGGAAATGGTAAGTTAATATCTGAGTGTCATAATAGCATGCATGATATGTAAAATTAAATGGAGTAAACTGAGGAGTGATTTCCATTTGCTCAAATTCAGCATGTGACAAATGTCTAAAAGATAAAAGTAGTTTAACTTTTGTTTCAATTTCCATATGTAAAATGCAGCATATTGTGTAACAAAAGATAGAAATAAAACTTGAAATTCCCTTCATGAAAATATGTATAACTAGAAAATTGAGAAGGAAACAGCTATTAGAAGGAATATTTCAGACAAAGCCAGAAGAACCCAGTGTAGGATGTCACCAAGGTGGTATAGTATCTGTGGTCCAAAAACTAATACCATTTTACCAGATCAGTTTACCAGAATGTACACTGCTATATGAGAAGTTGGTTTGTGTGGGAATCTGAAATCCAAAGTCTGTCAACATCAGATTAAAGTACCAAATATGTGAATTCTTCTGATATAGGAGATTATTTTAATTATGCACATAATAAGAGAGTCACTGGATGTAAGTTAATCTCCAAGAAATCTATGAGGCTTTTATTCTTTTAAATGCTTATGCCCTTATGCCCCTAACCAACACTATCTTGTTATTTGTATTCATTTTCTATATTTCCTACCAACACAAGGATTTTGTGTTTTTCCTTGGATCATCAGCATTTAAGATATTCCTGCACTGCAGAACACACTAATAGTTTTGTGGGGTGAAGGAATCAAACAAATACACATATAATGAATTATTTAAAGATACTTCCATCCAATTGGTTAAAAACATATTAATGAAAACTTTAAATTTGCACCTATTCTCATACTTCTAGAATTTCTTCCACTTGAAATCTTTCTACTGGATTGGAATGTACTACAAGAAACCTGAAAATCAATGGTTATGGGAAAATAATTCGGTTCTACCTTCAGATATGTAAGTATCTCTCTGACATAATGTGCTTAGTTTAATTACCATATTTACTTAAACACAAATAAGTGGTACGTAGGGCATAGTTCTAACACAATTGGGAGATGTGGAAAAGAGTCAGTCATTTAAATCCAATCCCATATACAGAAATATGGATTGTAGAAGTTGGTCATATTGGGGCTGGGGATTTAGCTCAGTGGCATAAGTGCCTGCCTTAGAAGCCGGCAGTCGTGAGTTCGATCCCTGGTACCGGTAAAAAGGAAAAAAACACACACACACACAAAAGAAGTTGGTCATTTTACTTAATTTCTTCATCCGCCCTCTCCTGCGACTTTTGTTTACAAACTACATTAGTTTTCTAACATTATCATAATAAATTATAGCAGACCAAGTGGTGTAAAAGGTATTTCCTTATAGTTGTGAGCGTTAGAAGTCTAAGATCAAGACATGAGCAAGATGTTGTCTTCCGGGGCCTCTGTCCTTGGCAGACACACTTTAGCCATGTTTCCTCTTCTTATGACCCCAGTGATGTTGGATTAGAGCTCACCCTAATGACCTCAAGTTAAGTCATTACCTTTTAAAAGACCGTATCTCCAAACGCTTTCTGAACTACTGATGGTAAAGATTTGAACTTATGAATTTTTAGAAAACACAGTTCAATCTATAATATTCTGCTCTCTGGCTCCTCAAACTTCATAATTTTCATATGAAAAATACATTCACCTCATCCCAGTAACTCCAGTCTTATCCCCATGTATCACCAGTTTTAAAGCTTTAGTCTCATCTAATTCTCTTTTAAATCAGAAGTGGATAAAACTTGAATTCTAACGCATCCTGAGGCCAAACTCTTCTCCAGTTGAGTTTGTGGAGCCAAACAGGTTGTTTGTTTCCAACACACGACGTGAGGCAAACGTAAGACTTGTATTCCCATTCCAAAAGGAAGAATCAGAAAGAACATAGGGATGATGAGTTCTAAGCAAGCTGAAACCTGCAGAAGCCAAGTTCACTGGATTTTGAGTTTGCAGTATTATCCTTTTCAGTTCAGTGTCCCATCCTCTGAGCCACCAGGGCAGAGGCGATGTGTCCTGGCTCAGTATGGGGAGACAGCCTTGCCTTCTGAAACTAAGGAGGTACCATCATCTGGAACTAAGGATGAGGCAGCCCAGTTTTGGTTAGTGACTGGCATTGGCAGCCCTAACCATTCCAGAACTACCTCCCAGGTCATTTCCCTAAAGTATAGCACATTTAAGTACGTATGTCTTTCTTCATCTGACCTATAGAATGCCAAGTCTCTAACAGCCTTACCTTAAATTCTTCTTATCCTGACTCAGTCTCTTTTACTCCAAGCTGGCAGTGTTTCTGCTTGTATGAAATTCTCAAAACCTCCATTGTTCTAAGCAACTCATAGAAGTCTCAGCTACAAATAGTGAATAAAATACACATTTTCCTCTGTTTCTGGCTTCTGCCAAGATGGGTGATTGAATCTAGCAATCATACTCAGAATCTCTTTAGTAACAGCCTTCTAGCTGTGTCCTTGGTGCTTGTTACAGACATGCTTTCTCTCTTATTTATTTATGTATTTTGACCTGGCCTGCGGGTAAGTCCACAGAGACCCTAAAGGGGGAGTGAGGATGAAGAGGGGACAAGAGACACAAAGGATGGAGACAAGATGAAGTCCGATCAAGTCTCTTTTATTCAAGGAAGGAGTATCAAATATATAGGTATTGGGGAGGAGGGAGCTGGGTTCTGAGAGGTCAGCAGGTAACTTAGCAACAGTGGCAAGACCAACTGTCAATTCAAATTTCCCTTGCAAGGGCTCATAAGGCAGGCTGATTAACATAATCCCTGAATAGATCAAACAAGCTAGGTACAGCAAGGTGCTTAACTACCAAACTTAACTCCTAGAGAGACTTAAGGTGGTGTGGCCTGCAGATAGAAGGTGCCAGTCAATTACAGGGCTTCCCACAGTATTTATTTATTTATTTTGCAATATGGATAGTTTGAGGAGATTCCAAATTTTCACTTCTGGATCCTACTTATGTAACAGTTCCTTCTTCAATTTATCTCTCTTGTGAAAATTTAATATACAAAGCAGGGAGAAAACCCAGCTAGTATAAATTATGCCAGTTATCATCTTCTTTAAATGTTTAAATTCACTTACAAGTTTTACTTCCCGTAAAATACTAAAACACAATTGGCCAGATTCCTTGCCTCTTTAGAGCCAGCACTGCCTTTCCTCCTTTGTCAGACTATGTGTAGTATTTCTCATTTCTATCAGAGAACTTGCCAGAATCACCTGTGATATCTATATTTCTACCAGAATTTTCCTCCAGACACTCTTTTTTTCCTAATGAGTACTTTCTTATTGTCTACTTTCAAAACCACTTGCAGGTTTTTAGTTATTTTGCATACTATATTCCTCATATCAAAATCTATCCATGCCCAAGGGTTCCTATAAGCAGTATACAAACAAGTGACTTAAATAATAGAAATGTATTTCAGAAGTGTAAAGCAGGCTAAAAATCCAAGATCAAAATTTTTCAATTTTGTTTTTTTTCTAAGACTTTTGTCCATGAATTGTTTTCTTCTTCCTATATTTTAACATAGTCTTTGTTCTGTAGCTATCTGTGTATGTCCAAATTTTCTTTTTAGGATATCAGCTATACTAGATTGGTGTAATTTTCTCATTTTGAGTTACCCCTTTAAATAATTTAACTCTACTCCCATATTTTAAGAGTTACTGGACATTAAACTCTAACCCCTAATTTATTGAGCACATATGCACCACAACCTTTGGTTTAAAGTCTATCAATTACCACATTATTTTATAAGCTCTAACTTCTAATTTTGGTTATATTGCTAGGTCTGCCAGGTTTTTGCCATTATTCTCATTATGAGATAAAGACTGTGATGTCTAAACATATTTTGACGCCAGTAGATAATTGTAACTAGGACTGTTATTCATAGAAGATTTTTTTTGTTGTTGTTGTTTTTATTCTGTTTTTCAGTGCCAAGGATCTAACTTGGGACCTCATATATTTGAGGCAAGTGCTATACCACTGTGCTACACTCCTGCCTTGCTCACAGACTTTTTATTTTTCTCACTTATTTTAGTTTGTCTCTTCACCTTTACCATCATGATAACTGACATGGTTTCCTTTTAGACTCTTTATTCTTAGTTGAAATTTTGATTAACATTTAAGATTCTACTACCTATTACTTTTCAATTTAATGATATTATCTAACTGTGCCATTAGGTGATAGAAATTTAATGAAATTTTTTTAAATTGCATATGTGTTATAGTTTTCAAAGTACCTATATAAAATAAACATTCTCTATTCTCTTTGGAATTTGACAGCTATTATATTTCTTTTATTGTTTGTTTTATCTTTCTAGTTCTGAATGGCAACAAGCCTGTTTATCTTATAAGTCAAAAGAACTGTCTATGGCTGAAAACTGTGAAATTAAACAGTACTACATTTGTAAGAATCATTTGATTGTCAAGCGTGGTGGTGCACACCTTCAATCCCAGCACTTGGGTGGCTGAGGCAGGAGGATCACTATGATTTTGAGGCCACCCTGTGCTACATAGTGAGTTCAAGACCAGCATGAACTACATAGTGAGACCCTCTCTCAAAAAACAAAACAAAAAAGATTTTATTTATCCTATGAAATCACAAGAGAGAAGAAAATAAATGTTTTCTTATCCCAAATCTTAGTCATTTTCTTGTTTTATGAATAAAATGTTGTAGATTTGTATTTTTAGCTGAATAAAATCTTATCAATAGTATTCATAAGTATGCTAAAATTTTTGTGAAGATATTGTTTGATTTACATACATTTTCATGAAATAAGATGTCACAGTATTTAAGAAAATACCAGTTTTTGGAGACATTACAATAAATGGTTTCTGAATAAAACAATGAGATAAAGTCATTGAGGAAAGTTTGGACTGTTCAGTATTAAAGACTGTACTATGAAGATTTATGCTGTCACTACTGATTTTTCGTGTGTGCAGTCTACAGTATTGTCAACATATATTGTTGAACTACAACACAGAGATATTATACTGGAAGAAAAAAATTAACATAACCCCCCTATAAAAAATATAATGACTTCCTAAATTTTGGAAGTCAGCTTTCAGCTTGAGTGCCATACAAACATCCAATTTATCCTGCAATCTCATGAACCCAAGAGGACTAAAGACCTTCATGCAAGTCAAATTGAAACAACAAGGCTTTCACTTGAAATCACAGTTGTCAAATTTTCATTTAAAAAATGGTCTCATTCATGACATCTTTGAAAGGTGAGAAATGAAGCATTTGTTTTAATTCAACAGTTTCGAAATTTTGAGAATTACAAACACAACAATGATTCTAAACAGATTCCACTTTCCTTAGTCTTCTCATCGTCTGTGCTTTCTACACACACTCACTCTTATTTGACACACTACCCACTCGTAGTTTGTTTATTATATAGGACTGTATGAAATTAAATTCCCAGGTCAACAACATAGGCTTGTAATTTGTCTCTGTTGTCTTCTCTCTGAGTTGTTTACACAGCGGGGAACTGGGGCTGTGGTGGGAACAGTGGTTGGTAGTACCGGCCTCTTTGTGGTGATAATGAAGGCCCTTCGTACTGTGGTTTTCCTGGGGGCTCAGTCTGAAAGCTCCAGGATTTAGCCCAGCATAGTTTGGTTCTCCTGACTACCTCCCTCCAGCAGAAAACTCAGACCTTCCTTCCAGTCCACATTGTTCAGGGAAACACTGCTGTTTGAACATTTGCCAAGTTGCTGGGACAGATAAGAGGCCTCTAACCCTACAAGTGAGTAGGGTAACTGAGCAGCTCATGTGCAACGAACTGGCTGCGGACAGCAGTGACTGCAGAGGCACAGAAGGAAACAGAATGAAAGCCTGTAGCGTGCACACCGGCAGAGAAACCCACAGCGACCACTGACCCGCACCACCCACTGGAAGGCGGGGCAGGCCCAGAGCCCAGGAAGCATCTCAAACACCAGGGCCTCCAGGTGCCACTCCCTGCAGCTCTCCATACCTAGTGGATTCCAGTATTAGAAGCGGGGGAAGAAATTTGACAAATCCAACACCTCAGTGTGGAGGTAGTTTTGGGCTCATTTTTCATCTCTTCTCTCTTTTTCTTCTTTCTCTCTCTTAGCTTTTGTTTGGCTTTCTTTTATCTGATTTTATTTACTTTTATGTTTCTCTTTGGATATTTTCCTCTTTTTTTGCTTCTCTTTTTTACCTTCTTAAAAAATCTTGCTTCTTCCGTTTTCACTTTCCCCACCAATCTACATTTTATTTCTTTATTATTACCTTAGCCATTATTAATATTTAGCCTTTTACTTTCCATTATTATTGTTCTGTCTTTCTATTGATGATGGTGATACAGTTACTTTTAATTTTTATTTTTACTATCGTATGTTTGGAATATACAGCGATTGCATTCATTATGGAGAGCTGACACATGTGCACAATACATCTTAATATTTTTATGTTCCTTTCACCTGTCCCTCACTTCATCTCTTTATTCTCTTACTGTTTGCAAAAGTTCTGTCTTCCTGCTTCTTATTATTGTTCGTTTTGTGATAAAACTGCGGCGGCTGAAAATATAAGAAGTATGAAATATAAATGACCTTTATTTTGGGAATGCGGGGAGAGACACCCCCGATCCCCTGGGGGCACAGCATCTCCACCCTGGCATCTGTGATCTCTTCGTGAAACACGTGAAACACGTGGAGTAGGCACATAAGTAGCCTCGGCTTGGGGTGGAACCTAAGGGGGCATTAGGGATGCACAGGTAGCCCATTGGTCTTTGTTTGGCGCCAGAGGTAGATTCCTAAGGGTGGGGGAGATGGGAGCTCCTTGACTTTACCAGCTACAGTGTCCGGCCTGGGCCAAAACCCTTTCATTTTGTTCTTCAGTTTACTTATACTTTGGGTATTTGATATAAGAGAAACTGAAAAACTTCAGTTTGTGTATCTGATTTATTTCACTTTATGGTCTCAAGTTTCATCCATTTTCCTATAAGTGACTCAAGTTTGTCCTTCTTTATGGCTGAGTAAATAGTTTGGTATTATAAATACCATAGGACAATTGTAGATTAACCACATGTGCCCTAAATGTAATCACGTGTGTCCTAATAATAGATAAGTACAGAGCTATTTGATTCCAGAAGAATGGGAGGAATCTGGATTAGAAACTGAGATTAGAGTGATGTGGCTGCAAGACAGTGCTGGCAGCCACAAGAAACTGTTAGACAAAGAGTAATTCTTTCCTGAACCTTCAGAAGCTATCAGCCCTACTAAGACTTTAACATTATCTTTATATAATTCATTTTAGACTCCAGCCTTCAAAAGTGTTAATGAATACATTAGGATTAGGGTTATCTGTCATAACCTCAATAGCTAAGAGAGATCCAGTGCAAAATGACTTTCTGCTGTGACACAGAGCTTGAACAGATGGTATGGGAGGCTGGTAATAATAATCTTAACCAGACAATAAAACAGTGCATGATCATTGCTGATGTGATGGGAGCTCTGGGTACAGGAGTCCATGGGAATTTTCCAGGGACTTCCTGGGGCTTTACCCCAAGACACAGACTGAGCACTAGAGCTGTTACCATAATGAGAATTGAAAACAGAGAGAGAGAGAGAGAGAGAAAGAGAGAGAGAGAGAGAGAGAACTAATTTCTCTCTTTGTTATGTGTCCTTCATTATTCTTTCTTTATATCTCTTAGAACACACAGTTGGAGTAAAGTAAAATAAAGTAATAATAATAACTAAGGGAAATATTCAAATGTAGCTTGTGTTAACTGGAAGATGCACAGAGAGAAACTCTTTGATTAAAATTCACTAATTTATTTTATTGCACCTAACTACAGGTTTGAGTTGCTGAAAGACAGAATATGTCTACAAGTTTTATATTATCTAAGAATTGGTCATTTTACTAGAAACTGTCAGCATACCAAATCTAAATAATTTAATAAAATATTAAATTCAGTATAATAGATATATTCTTATAATACTTGCTGACTTTGCCTAACTCTAAATTTACAGAAACATTATTCAAGTTATTAGAATTGTTCTGGCTTTAGGAATAAGAATTTTGGAAATCGTATAGTTATTTGTAGAGAGGCTGCTCTGACTCCATTTTGTCCTGGACACATCTGATTGACAGTGTCTTTGTAGAAAGTGCAGGCCTTGAAAGATCCCCCAAGATAAAAGCACGAGGTTCCATAAGAACAAGAAGCAAACAAGTTATATAATATAAGCATGCACAATATGAGTTTCTTTGTTCTTTATCTCAATAAAAGCTTCCTGTTTATGCTGACCGATGGCAGCCATTTTGCTGACACTTGATGTATTTGTCCCTTTATTTTCCTTTGGTTACAGAATCCCTATAGTTGTTGTCATAAATCATTTTTATTTTTGGTTTTTTAAAAATATCAATAACTATTTATAGTTTTAATCTTCTAGATTATCTGGTATTTTTATTATCATACCCTATGAGTTTTTATGTCATTTTTAAGCAGTTTAAAAAACATTTGATTTCTTTAAAATTACCTATAAGCTTGGAAAAACGCTAGGATAATTACATAATCATAAAATTGCTATAGACGTGTAGATAGCCAATAAAATATGCTTAACAAATTTACATGTGAGAACATATTTAAAATAGTGACTCATCTTTGAGTTTGAACTGCAGTTGGGTGCTATGAAGCCATTTTCATTTTGTTACCTGAAGTGAAAAATTATGCAGGCTCTGTGGAATGATATGGTACAAGTTTAGGAAAGATGCTTAAAGAGCCACACCCAACATTTGAGTAGTTCTCACAGGAAAGTGACATTTGAGTAGTCCTCAGTGAAATGAAAGAGAAAACTTCAAAATTGCTTAAGTTGGGATTTTGCAGTAGCAGTGAAAATCTCTAGGATAAAAGCAATTTTGTATGTTTAACAAATGGTAAGAAGGCAGAAGTGGAGTAAATAGGGGAAGAGGAATGGGAAATGAAGCCAGAAAAACAATTAGGTAAGCAAAAGTGTAGCAAATATCTTGTATTTTTTTAAAGTAGATTGATTGTTTTCAAGGATCCAAATAGGAAAACAATGCACGTGTCATGTCATTAGACAAAGGTCATGTAGTACATGGCCATATTTATAAAGTAAGTAGAGTGTTCGAGACAATGAAGCAAAGCGGCTCTGAGCAGGATTTAAATTTTACTAATTGGCTTTCTATGTTTATCTGTGAGTCTGTCCTAGGCCCCAGCCCTTTGCCTGGTGACGGGAGCTGATTCATAGTAAGTGAACCTCTATGAATCACTGGTGCTAGCTGAGGCCTGTAGTGGCCTGTGAGGCCAAAGATACCTCAAAGGGCAAGATAAGGCCACAGCTATTGTGGCTTCCTACCCCAATTAACAAGGTAGAGGCTGCAAAGATTACTCCTACAGTCTCACTTCTACCATGTCTTCATGGTAGACTGACTTGATTCATTACTTGGATACGTCCTTGAAGTGACTCCCAAGGTCCTGCTCAGTACTTTCTCAGTACTTCCTCAGTTTCTCCGCCCTTTGTCCTTGGTCCTCTTATAAGTGGACTGATCCAGACAATCCTTTGTCTTTACCCTTGAAGCCTCAAGCTTAATTAAAGGGTTTTGACCCTCCTGGAGCCCTACAAATCATACAATTTCTCTCTTTTTATTTAACCTCTGCCGTACACTTGTTTGGGAGATCGAGAATCTAGGACAGAACCCGACAGTAGAGAATTCAAACAGGCAGAGGGTAAGATGAAGGTTAAAGGTAAGACAGACATCCGGCACCATACTCAGGGCTGGAAGAAACAAGGATGGAGGGAGCTCACCAGAGCCTCTCCATGGTCGCTGGGACTGAAGAAGATGGTGCACAGTGAGTGCTGGGGGTGCAGGGGCTTTTGGGAAGGAGTTAAAAGTGCACAGTGTGTACCCCCACTGCAGACCATACAGATTGAAACAGAGAGAGAAAAGGAAAACGCCAAGCTTGTTCCTCTTTCTAACTTCCAAAGCTCAACCCAGGATTCCCATCACATGAACTATACCAAAACTGTTTGAGTGGGGAAATGATAAAATGCATTTGGCAGGAATACAAGCAGAGCAGAGAAAGACCATCAAGGTCAAAGATGAAAATGCCTGATAGCCTGGAAGATACCAACTCCACCAAGGCGTAGAACAGAAGTGTTTCAGGAGAAATGCTTCCCATACCCCATTAGAAGAATTATCAATACATTAACTAGTGAAGAGATGCATTCAATAAAATTTGTCCATTCTTCATGGCAGTCTCACTACTGTAACATGTACATAACTCAGATACGCTATCGACATGCAATCACTTGTAGAAGAGTTAATAAAGGAAGGAAGGAATTTAGAAATATCTCATAAGAATAAATTGAGAATAATTTATTAAGATAATAGCATGAAGAAGTGTCTCTGATACCTTATTCAGAATACCAAACTCCATACATCTATGAAGTAAAAAACTTATGTGTTGGCTTCCCAAATATGAACTAAGCTAAGTATCATTTTTATATTTGAATGTTGTGGAGGAAATATTAATGGGCATGATTATCAAGTGAGCCTCATATTCCACTGGTAGTTTAATTCAAATGTATTTATTAAATATTTATAAAATATAAAAAATTAAAACCTTAACAGATTTCTCTAGAAGGATTTTTAATAAGGAAATATGGGCCTGCACATTAGACTTAAGCTAACTTTAATTTCTACTTCCTTAAAGACATGATAAGAAAACACTATGTATAAAAGAAAAATTGCAGATGTAGTTTTGCTTTATTTCTCCTTTGCTGACTTTGTTGGATATCATTTGTGTCTCAAGCTGACTATATTTCTTATTACCCTATATTAGAATAACAGTTCTTCAGTTAAAACATGATGTTTGATTTCATCATTCCACATTGTAAGCCTGTGTAATAAATTCACATATCACCTTGTATCCATAACATAGATAATTGTTTGCCAATTAAAAACAAAATAATCAATGTGATAACATAGTGTTTTTAAAATATAACTTTATACCTATTTGTAAAATAAGGTCTTAAATTTTCATTGTACTAATACTATAAGTGCTATTTAATGAGTCTTGCAAATGATTGATAATAGTTCTTTTAATATATTCTGCAAAAATTAAAGCTTCTATACTGACTTCTAATTCATCATATTAGCTTTTTTTTCACCTAATGTGAACTTTTTTCATTTGTATTTTGAGAACTTTCTAGGTCTACTATTATTCCATGGTGATAAGGGTTAATAGGAACTTGGGGAGAGATCTAGAATTCCTCTTAATACAAGTTCTATATATTTATAATTGTAGTTATGTAAATAGCAACCTTGACAATACTCTTACTGGCATTAGTAAAGCTCTTTTTTTTTTTTTTTTTTTTTTTTTTTTTTTTTTTTTTTTTTTTTTTATCTGTACCGGGGATCGAACTCACAACTGCCTGCTTGCAAGGCAGGTGCTTATGCCGCTGAGCTAAATCCCCCGCCCCTAGTAAAGCTCTTTCTACAGCAGTTTAAGAGATGCTTCTGATACCAAGAATCATAATCATTTTTGCCATAGTATTCTCTAACATTTTCTGCCTGACAGTGAAAGGGCTATTTCTTTTGTATCTTTACGTATTATTTCCACCCACAAAATATACCACCTTTTAAGCACTCTATAAGAAGAACATTTCAACTAAGAAAGATATTGTGAAAAAAATGATTCTAATATTTATAGCCCAATCAATGGTTTATGGTCTTCATGTTATTTTTCTGTTTGACTTATTTCTGTTCCTTTAACGTGTAAATGTTGTCACAGTCTTTAATTTAGTGCTGTTTCCTGTGGTCAGACTTGCCAGAATGACACAAATAATGCTCTTAGTGATAGAGATCAGTCACATTCGCAGGGCTAAGTCTCACTTTTGGTCTTTTTTTCCCCAATGATACTATCTTCTGCTTCTTGATCAGATAAATGGTTGTGACCAAAGCTTTTGAAATAGCATCTTTTCATCAGACATGATGTCTGCTCTGCTCATTATCCTCCATTTCATTCCTACGATTATACTGTCACCTCATTGGTATTGTTTCTCTGGACTGTTATTTCAAGTAGCAGCAACTGTGTGGTTGGAGATATTCTGTAGTGTACAGAGTGATATGTTAACGTGTCAGCCACACTTTTCACACCCACAGAGTGTACTAAGCCGATGACTAAGGTTTGAGCAAAGCAATAGGCCAGGAATATAGCAGGATCGAGAGATTTTCATTTAATCTACAAACTTACTGTAAACAATGATGAATGTTCTCTGGGCCCCAGTATCCACATCAGGCAGAAAGACAGACAGACAGACACACACACACACACACACACACATTTGAAAGCTAGATAAGTTTTTTAGTATATTATACGTCTATAAATTAAACCATGGTCACAATATATTTCCAGTAAACTATTCAGTTGCATTTTACTGTTTACAGATGTTGAGAATGAATTCTAAAGTTGTTATTGAACCTACTTAAATTTAAAGATTAAAGAAAAGCAAAAGAAAATATAAGTACTGACTTTTACCACTTTATTTTTAGTAGGAAGAATAAACAGAGAAAACTCTTACCTGTTCAGGATTAAGTAGAAGGTAGTTTTGAATGCTAAATAATCTACATTTGAAATTTTTTTATCTTTGTGCTATTATTTTTCTAGAATTTTTGTTTGCTTAGCTTTTCTTTGCCTCATCAATATCAGAGTTTTTACACTAATGAGGCAGATATTTTGATTATGACTTCAGTATATATTCGTGTCATTTAGTTTTTATAAATCTTATCACTAGAACCACCCATTCCTTCAGATATTCACTAATTTACCTATTTACTTACTTATTTAAATTTAAGTGTATTGGTACAACTTAGGTATACATAACGACCACATTCATTATTGGGAATTTGTATCTGTATATGATAAATCTTGACTCCTCTTTTTTCCCCCATTTCCTCTTCAAATCGCCTTCCCCTCCTTATTCACAAAGTTCAGTTTTCATATTATAATTTTCTCATGTTTTTCTTTCCTGTTTTTCCTTTCCCCTTTCCTCCCTATTTTCCTTTTGGGCAATTTCTTCCTATTTCACAATATCTACTATACATTTATGTTCTTATTCACATTTTCAGCTTCTCACACTAGAGAAATAATATGACATTTATGCTTGTGTCCAATTTATTTTACTTATGATTATGATCTCAAGGTCCATCGATTTAGTTACAAGTGTCTCAATTTTATCTTTCTTTATGTCTGAGTAATACTTCATTAAATAAACAAAACCACACCTATTTTATACATTCATTGATTGGTGGGCATTTGGTTTCCTTCCAAGATTTAGCTATTACAAACTGTGCTGCTACAAATGTGTGTACATCACTGTGGTAAGATGCTATTAAGTCTGGGAAGATATCCAAAAGGGAGTAGCTGAGTCACATAGGACCATACCCCTTTTTATTCATTAAACAGTTAATTATGTTAAAAGTCAGCTGTGGCTGACTTGGCGTGGTGGCTCTTGCTCAAAATCCCAGCACTTGGGAAGTTAAAGCAGGAGGACTGTTTTGAATTTGAAGCAAACCTGTGTTACTTAGTGACTTCAAGGCCAATCTGAACTACACAGCAAGACCCTGCCTCAAAAGAGCCTAAATAAATAAATAAATAAATGAATAAATAAATAAATAAAAAGTCTTCTGTGTCTCAGACACGGTTTGAGGTATACAGATTCTGAAATAGACCAGAAAGATCAACTGGGCTCCCATGTTACCTTTCCTGGCAGGCTGACAGGAGCAGAACATGACGAGGTGAGTATTGTGTTAGAGCTCAATGGTTTGCACATGTATTTTCTTGCTTGCTTTCTCTTTCTTTCTTTTCTTTTTTGATGGTACCGGGGATCGAACTCATGAAACAATCAGGTGCTTATGCCGCTAAGCTAGATCCCTGACCCATCACGTATATTTTCATTATGTTCTGCCTTGTGTACGCACACGGAATTGCATTGATAGAAATTTAAATTTGTTATATAATAGGGTAGCAATTTTTAAAATTTGAGTATGGATTTGTCTTTTTGTGGACTGTAGGTCATGGGCTTCATTCATATCCATAGCTCTGTAAACATTTTTGCCCAGGAAAGAACACACTGCTTTGTAATGACAAAAAGCCTTGGAGAGACTTACCTAACAGAAAGAGGAATGTGTAACGTAGAGTATAGGTTAGAAGTCAGAATGCAGACCCATTAGGAGCATGGAGGGGTAGATATGAGATTAGTAGATTTATTAAACAAGTCGTTCTGTATAAAAGAGAACAATGTGTGACATACAAGTGTATGCTATATCCAGCAAGTGATGCTATTACATAAATGTGAATATTTATAGATGAATATTGATAGGATCTGCTAGCCTGGGGTTTAGCTGTATCCTTCCAACTTGGTACCGGACCCAGAGAAACAATTTATCTCTCCAAGAGTAGCTTCTATGTTCTCCTTCTCATTCCAGAGATAAACCTCCTGTTGCCTTCACTCTCAGCCTCCAATAAATCTTTCTGTCTCCTGTTTTACACAGGCAGATGCTTCTTCAGATTAGTGATTAACATGTCATTTTCCCCACCTCTCAGACTCTTCCCCCCAGCCAAACTGATAAAAGTAGTCCCACTTCTTTGTTCTTATTTGAGAGCCTCTGTGCCCCTGCCCCGTGAAGCTCTCCCATGCCCACATTAAAAGTCTCTTCCTTTGTCTCCTTCTTCTTCTTCTTCTTCTTCTTCTTCTTCTTCTCTCTCTCTCTCTCTCTCTCTCTCTCTCTCTCTCTCTCTCGTTTTCTCTGAGCCACTTTAGACTGAGTGCCCAAAAGTACTCTATCAAAAATCACTCAAAAGTGGCCTGAATTCACATTCATACCTCTCAACAATAGGCTGGTAAGGCTATGCCACGAATATGAGCATTTTCCCTTTCTGTTTCATGGTATAATAAACATAAAACATGCCATAAGTATTTATCCTAATAGATTTTTGGCTGTAGGGGTCTTTCCAACAAGAAATATTTTTTCCTGTGAAAGTCATAACTTTCAACAAGTTTAGATCAATTACGAATTTTAATCATGAGCATTTTTAGGAGCAGGAAGTAAAACTTTGGTTATTGGACATTATTTAACATTCCTTCAGCAATCACCATGGGACAAAAAATTTGTAAGAGTAAAAAGAGTCAGAAACTTATTTTTACATGAAAGCATGGGACAAAAAATTTGTAAGAGTAAAAAGAGTCAGAGACTTATTTTTATATGAAAGCATTTATATACCACTATAAAACATATTTTTACATATAAAAGATATCTCATTTCTTGGAAGAATTTTTTTGTCTTTTTTTTTTTTTTTTTTTTTTTAAATCTGTATCAGGGATCGAACTCACAACCACACACTTGCAAGGCAGGCACTTATGCCGCTGAGCTACATCCCCAGCCCCTTCTTGGAAGAATTTTAGTCATTGTTTTTGGTACAGCTAAATATGGTATAGGGAAGCACTAGTAGGATTACACATTTTGAGACATAGTTTGAGGACAGTTCTAGAAAACAAGAGAAAGGCAAGTGATTACTTGTGCAACTGTGGATGCCACAGACATGTGCTTCTCTCCCCGCCACCTAGCTTGCTCATTCACGTCTTTTCCTGTGTTTGCTCACCCGTCTTTCATAGCAAAGGTTTTCCTCATCCTCTCATTTGAATTTTTTCTGTAATATCTCATATACCTTTTTTGCTTGGCATTTTCAAGTCCCCTTTTCTGTCACATATTTCTTCATCATATACACTTGTTCCACATGTGTGTTCTGATTCACTATTGTAGTGCAGTGAAAGCACTGGAAAACAAAGTTACTGTTTCTTCCAGGAGATCCTGCTGCATTTATGGCTCTTAGAAGAATGCCAAACATTTAGTGAATACCCGGTAATCATTTCATAATCTTAACCTGAAACTTTTTGCAAAACCAGTATTGGTGCAAAACCTGGGAAAATACAGTAATTTAAGTGTATTTACAGCTGATTCATTTTAGCAGGGAGTGGTGGCATACACTGTAATTGCACCACTTGGGAAGCCTGATTGCAGCCTGGGCAATTTAGACACTTAGCAAGACCTATATCAAAGTCAAGAAAAGAAAAAAGAAAAAAAAAAAAAAAAAAAAAAAAAAAGGAGGAGAAGACTGTGTATTTAGCTCAGTGTGAAATCCCAGGATTCAACACCTAGAACTACAGAAAACCAGAAGTATCCATTTGTAAGCATTTATTTCTGAAATTATAATTATTAACATAATTATACAATTGTACAAAATAATAGCTTTCACTCTCACATTACCACACATATGTCTATATTGTGCTTTGGTTATATTCACTGTCTGTTGCATAGATTAATCTTTTTAAATATGAGTACTATTTTTCCATTGAAGATGGAAGATGTTTCTACTTTGTGTCCATGAAAAAATCTATTACTTTAGCATAAAGGAAAATATTCTGTGCTTTACTGAGTACTGAAGGGGAAGAATGAAAATTAATCAAATTATCTCAACAGCACTTTCTACAATCTTGCACATCATTTTGAAAACACGAACAGTGCTTACAAATATGAGATATCCTTTTTGGGTGCCTGTTGGTCAGCACTCTGACAGGTTATCATCCTAGAGTAACAACACCCAACACTCTTCTTTGCATGTCAAGCATGGGACCGAGAATCAGATTTCAAGGACCTGGGATAAAGTTAACAGGCAACAGGCCATTCCTTTCTCTTTCAGTTTTCTGAAGGGCTCCATAACCAAAAAATAATCTTATTTAAAAATTATGTTATAAAATGTAGCATAGGTCACAAAACATTTTTTTTGGAAACCCCAGATAATAGGATAAAAACAAATTCCTTAGAATCACAAAGATAGGTTATCTCAACTAAAAACATCAATAATATTTTCTAAACTTTTTCTCATAAAACTGACTCAAAGCACCTCAAGTGACTCTTCCAGTTTACATGTTGTATGAATCTCTACTGTGTTATTAATAAATTATGCCGTAGTTATCTATTACCTTTACTAGACAGAGGCTTTGTGCGAGGTCAGCCTGGTAGAGTTACAGTGCTACTGGAACTATGTTTCCCAGCTCACTGCAGAAAAAGTCAATTGTTTTGAAAGACAAAGTGTTGAGGCAAGAACACTGACTTTATTCAAAAAGCCAACTCAAGAAAAAGGGGAGGTTTTTGTCACAAATTGTTCCTTGCCTAAGCTGATTTGGAGTGCCTTATTTAGGCAGCTGATTCGTGTCTTCTTCCTTGTGGGTATCATCCCACAATGGGTGGGCCACAGGACACACATCTGATCCTAGGCATGCAATCATGAGATGCTTTTCTGCTCTGCAAAGACCAGGATCATCATTTCTTTGGGGTATGCTTGATCCTGATTTGTGTATTCTACAACAGCCAGGCTAGAGGGTGGCATCAGTTAATAAAGTTTAATTTTACTTAAAAATCAGACTGCATAGTGTCAATGGTGTGTGTGCAGATATTCTACTTCACATATATACAGATATTTTAACACATAATAGTGTAGAGTAAAACCTTGAGTTGTAAGCATTATTTGTTCTGGAAACTTGCTTATTCAAAGCATTCATAAATCAAAGCAAATTTCCCCATAAAATTAGTGGAAATTCAGATAATTCATTCTATAGCCCAAAAATATTCATATAAAAAGGGTTATAATGCTATAATACAAAATAATAAAGAAAAATATAAAATGTAAACAAATTACAAATTATACTTATGTTTGAAAACTTTTTTGGCTGGTGTGAGGGAGACAATAGAGACAAGAGCTATTGTGTATGATGAGTTTCATTATCTCTAGTACAATCACTGATGTCTCGTGACTCAATGTAATCTTTTTGTTTTTGTGCAGCTTTACCAAGGAAGACATCCAATGACGCTTGCCATTACTTCCTTTTGAAGATTTCTTGAAAACTTGACACTGCATTGTCGTTAAACAGATTCATCATGCACATTGCTACAGCCTCATTCAGGTGATGCAAAATTTTGTGCTGTTGCTGAGATTTTACATATCTCCTTCTTCTCATCTGAAGTGAGAATAAGTCACTTGCACTCCAGGGTTTTACTGTATATCTAGTACAACTGTAGTTATTCATATGTCTAAAGTTAAACAAAGACTAAAAATTTCTACAATCATTAAAGCAAGACATACAGTTATGTAAAATGAATGTCTGCTTTTTGACTTATTAGAGGAAGATAACGTTGAGAGAGATTCAGTTTGTCCTTCCCAATTTAATTGATTTTATATGTATCTCCTTTATAGTCTTTGGTATCTTCAATCCTGAAATTTAAGGAACAAAGGTATAAATATTATAAAGCTGACAAAAAAGGAGATAAGAAAAATCTTGTAAGTGATACAATACAAAGATTAGCACATAATGAATAAAAACTTTAACTGTCTAGAGATAATTTTATAAGCATAGACTATCTCACCATTTACAATTAGCAAATTATAAAATCTTAAAATAATCATTTATATGACTTTTTTCACAGGTTTATTTCAAAGTCCTGGAACTCTGAACATAATATAAATTAACATTCGCAAATGAAAGCTTAGTCACAAAAATTTAAAAAATAAGCTGCTTAAAATGGTAGATTTTTATAGATCTGATTCTTAACGTCTTGTCTGGATACTAATATGCTTCATTATTCTTCATTATGGAACCCTTTACTGCCCCTTTTACTTTATGCCCACAGTTTCATCAGCAGATGACAGTGGATCCTTGTAAACATTTTTGCCTAATGACCAAGAAAGAGGCTTAGTGCGCGTCACTAGTACTAGTGAAACTATTTGAGTTTGCAACTTTAAGAACAGGTAAGTTTGCCAACTGTGGTGTGTTATTTTCAGAAGGGAAACCAAAGCCCTGCCCAGCAGTTTACCACAGAATCTATTTGCAGCAATACAGGAGCCACAGCTGTAGCTGAGCTCTTCAAAGCTTTTTCATGAGGTTCCTACACCTCACTGAAGTCCCACCTGGCACACTAATCTGATGTGTATGCTAACCTGCTGCATTAAAGGATGAAGTTAAGAAATGTTGAAACCAGTGAAGTGTTTTCTTCACTCAGCCTTTAAAATTTCTTCCTGTCCTAAACAATCAAGGAGAAAGTCAAAATTTTATGACTTCACTCTCAACTCATTTACAGAGGTAAATTAGTATCTGTTAAGTGCTTTCAATTTTTTTTCTGCACAAGGTACATAATAAATGTTTATCCTTGTAAACATGTAAAACTTAGGTGATTCTTTTTCTAAGTAAATTTATATTTGGCTTATCTTTCCCTTATTTCTTAAATAATCTTTAAAGATGATTATAATATTTAGAAGTCATTAAATGAATTTCCTGTCTTTAAATCTCGTTAAAAGTGTTTGTGTTACAGTGAGAATTTCCTGTACCTTGGTTCCCAGAACATCTTAGAAGTTTGTGATTTTATCATTTCTTATACAACATATATGTATATCACCAGTAAAGGATTCAAGATATTAAGTATACAATTTATATTTTTCTTTTTAATTTCTTCATCTTTAGCCTTCTGTTCAGTTCCATGATTCAGTATCAATTTTCTTAAATGACTACATTCCGTGACTTCTCTGCATGAGCTTGGAGAATTGATTCTCATGGCAGGTATGTGCAGTCTATTCATTAAATAATAAAAAAATAACTAGAAAGTATATTTCAGGGATTAGCTAATTCAGAGCAGTGATTTATGAAAAAAGAAAACATAATTAAAGATAGATATTTTTATGTTTTCCATGTACAACATTTTTCTGCATTTATTTTCTTGATTTTTTATTTGTAATATGATATGTGTGAAGCAAAATCTTTTGCAAACCTTTTCAACAGATTTAAAGAGTAGCTTCTAACAGGGATATTTCTAAATTCTAAATGAACCTAATAGAGAGTGTCAAATATTACTGACACAATGATTAGAAGATTTTAACATCCAAGAATCAGTTTGACTAAATTTGTATTATTGTTAATGACGTCAACGTTTGAGGGTATGCTAATGTTAATACAGAATCTCCTAGGGTTTAAAAGTTTAAGAGCAAAGGTCTATGGAAAAGTAATTTTGGATATGATAATATGAAATCTTTTTTAGAAAAGAAAACAGTCTTTGTTTGTATATCACAGTTCAATGTGCTGTGAAATGAACTCAGGTTCTCACCCCATACCTTGATTTTGGAAACTCTTTCCACCAGCTCCTGCATCTTTTCCCCCTATAATGCCTTTACAAATTGACTAACCAGAACATGACCTCTGTAGAGATTAGCAAAGAACACATTTCCAAGTAGTGCATTGTGACAATGACAGAATATGACAAATTAAATACTTTGGAGCTAGACAAAATTCTATTTGGTTTCTGACTTAGATGATCACTAGCTTTAATACCTCATGAAAAAGTATTATCCAACCATTTGCTTCATCTATCTAATCACAGTCCTATTATTTAAAATGTGACTTTTCTGGGAAAATAAAAATATGTGTCTTTACATAAACCCATTAACAGGATTTGAGACCTGTTAATTTCTTCTTACTATAGATGTATACGCTTCTCTGCTAATTTAAAAACAAATAGTAAATCCATTAAAATAGAGATTGTAGAAAAACCTATATGGACAACTTCTCTGAAGAATCTGATAGCACAAAAGTTTTGGAATTGGGAGGAGTGATGAATAGTGATGAAAATATCTTCATTTCCCAGTTTTTCACTAGCAACATGCCTATGTGATGAAATTAAGAATTTGTTTTAAAAATACTTTATTTACTGACTGTAACCTACCAAAATTCTTATGGCTAATGGAGCTCTGCATGGTAAGATATTATCCACTGTGGTAAATTTCTACAAAAAATATTTTAATGTAATGAGTACATTTGACTGTAAAGAATCCACCTGTGAACTCTAGATTCAGATAGTAGAATCAGATAACAAATACAGAAGGAATGCAACAGTTGTGATAGTAACACTTAACATTTTAGTTAAAGCCAAAAAAAGATAGAGGTGCCGTTTGAATATTCCTTAGCCCTTCTGAAAAACTGCAGGTGAAAAATGTGCAGTACTTTTAGTTCAACAAATCATCGTTATGCTCATAAATTCAAATGACTGTCATTGTTTTTAATCACTGAAAACCAGAATCAAAGTCAGTAATTGCTCAACAAACTAATAATACAAGTCCAAAAAATGTTTAAATTCAAAAATGTAAAGTAAAGGACATTGTTCTTCATGACTAGCCTCAGATATATAGATCACACTACTAAGCATAGGCATACTACTTGATAGTCAATTCTAGTTACCATATAATTAAGCATATTACTGTGTGCATAGTAAATTCTAGTGGTCACATATGTTTATTGGTTATTAACAACATAAATTGCTCCAAAAGAAATGCAACAATCCAACAAATTAGTTACATTTCACTTTCTGGTAAAGATAGATGAATCAAATTTAAGAGCTGGATTTTTTGGTTACTTCATTATCAAATTATGAGATTATTTCCAGAGAAATAATTGCAAATTTTGCTCAACATCAAATAAGTTTCTGCAAAAAGTTGTTGATAAATGCATTTTTGGCTTAATTTCTGAAATTAAATAATAACTTTCTAACTGAAATCATTTACATTGTTAGGTTTCTAAAATAAACATTGAAAAGAAAAATACAAAAGATGATTTCTCAAATTTTGAACAGCTCACTTAGTTACATAAAATGTTTTCTGTACCAATACTTGCTCAATGTCAAAAGATAGTTACTGCCTATAAACAGTACAAATGGAGCCTTTATTTTAGTCTCTTTCCATGCAACATTACTGGACTCTGGATACCCTAATTCACATCAGCTGAGTGTAATAATTTGTCTTCTTTTCGTTTGTTCTGTATACCTGACAAACTAACACATGTGTTACCTTAACATATAAATTACCACTCAGGTCCCTTTATTTGAAAAATCACATCTGCTTTCAGAGGGTCTGTGAGAGTCCATTTCTCCACCCAGTAGGTGGTCTCCTCCCAGATCTGTACTGACGTCCAGTTGCCTGGCACTGGACTCGATGCCTCCCTCTCTCACCTCTGATGCCTAATGAAATGAAGAATTCTTTGGATTCATCTCTGCTGATATCTGCTCTTAAAAACTTCAGTTCTCATTTTTGTTCTTTAAAATATTAATCTATGTCCTGTGTCTTTTTCTGCAGCTTCTCAAATCACTCTGTGGAGGATAATTTCTGGAACCTTTGGAGTAATATGCCTTATACTGATGGTTACTTTGGGAATTTTGTTGAAAAATAGTAAGTGTCTCTTGATGAGTCTACATAATGATAAAAATCCTAATCATGTCATTTAATAATAGAGGTTTCATTTTATGAATGTTTAATAATTTGTCATTTCATAAACCTATTCTAATTAATCAAATCTCTAATCATATTTTATAGCATTCACTAAACAAAGTATTCAACCAACACTTGCTCCAGAGCCCATCAAAGAACTCCAGGAAGGTGGGTTTCACTGACTGGCAAACCTTATGTCTGATAAGAGATTAAGAAAACAATGTCTTGATTTTCACACATAACATTGTACTTAGCGGTGTAAGTGTTCTGACAGTAGCATACTCACATTTCCCCATTTCCTAATGTAAAAATGACTAAATTACATTGGTATGCATGCATTAGCTTTCTATTACTGCAACAAATACTTGACATAACCAACTTATTCTGATAAAAGGTTTATTTTGGCTCACAGTTGTACAGCTTTCAACCTTGATGAGCTGGCCCTGTTACATTTGGGCACACGGTCAGGCAGCACATTCTACTAAAGCAAAAGTGGAATCACTTATCTCATGACTGGAAAATAAAAGAGAGTAAGAACAAAATGCCAATCTCTCTCTCTCTCTCTCTCTCTCTCTCTCTCTCTCTCTCTCTCTCTCTCTTTCTCTCTCTGTCTTTTTGAGCAGAGTTTTACTATGCAGCTAGGGCTGGCCTTCAACTTACTTTGTAGACCAGCCTGGATTCAAACTAGCAGTGATCCTCCTGCCTCAGTCTCCTGAGTGCTGGGATTACATGCATGTGCCACCAAGCCTGGCCTATTTTCTCTAATCGCAAACCTCAATGTCTTAAATCCTTTCAACACCTTATATCTCAAAGGTTTCATTGTTTCCTAATGTGCCAGGATGGAGACCAGGCCTTTCATACATGAAACTTTAGAGAATATTTCAGACCTCAGCTATAGTAGTAGTACGTGATTTATATATTTGATGTATTAGGCAAAAACTAGCCTGAAAGATTTTTTCTCAATATGAGTGCTCCAGATTGTGTAACACATAAACATTAAACTACAATAAATATGACAGCTAATTCTTATTTCACATTCTTTTTACCTTTTGTTCAACTTGTATGATTCAGGATGCAGTACAGAGATTTCTCTAATTACACATCTTATTTATTCATTGAAAGCTAGCTCAAAGCTAGCTTTTAAGCTTTCCAAAGGTTATGAGTGTACAGAACTTCATTTCTATCTCATTCCAACAACTTCAGTGCCACTCATCTGGTGAAGACTTGAGTGTCTACCATACATCGTAATTTTATTACTATGGATAAGAAATTTTAAGGTTCTGTCACCAATAAACTATATAATTAGACTTGAAGCTAAATGTTTTATTTAGCTTCACTGTTGAAAAATAAAATATTCAAATATATCAGTTTTTGAGACAGGTTCCTCACTAGGTAGCCCAGGATAGTCTCAACTCACAGCCTCAGTTTCCAGAGGGCTGGGCTTGGGCCACCATGCCTGGTTTAAAGACATCCAAATTCTTTCAGTATATTATGTTCTTTTGTGATTCAGGAAATATGCTAAAATATTTTTGTACTATAAATCTACTATAAATCTTTCATCTACTTAACTTCTATTTTTAGTAAAGTGGTCACTTTGGATAATTTCCTCAAAATATGTTTTTCTAAATGTCCCCCATCCTATGCTTTGCTACATGCTGTTTAAACATACTGAATTTATTTTATATAACTTACCTAATTATCACTAAATGTACTCAAATGCCTGGATGTTATATACTGTAATTCTGAATGTAGCTCCATAATGTAAATGCCATGAGGAAAATTTCACATTTGATTTGTTCACATTAATACTCCCTGAACTGTGGTCTATATAGTAGATTCTCAAAAAACATTTGTAGAAAAAATTAATAAACAGAAAATAACGATGTAATGATTAAATAAGATTGAAAACAATTTACAAATTTCAGTGTCAGCATAATTTGTTTTTCCTCTTAGTACCTGACTGCTGTTCTTGCCAAGAAAAGTGGATCGGCTACCAGTGCAACTGTTACTTCATTTCTGATGAAAAGAACACTTGGACAGAAAGCAGTCATTTCTGTGCCTCTCACAATTCCAGTCTTCTTCAGCTCCAAAACAGTGATGAATTGGCATGTACTTAACTCTTGTTCCCAGTGTTGTACTTGACTTCTAAAACAATGATGTCTAAGATGATTGCTTTGAATCAATCTTTCTGTCAGATAGAAAATGGATAGACTTGTGATCTGGCATTTTCAGGTTCTTTGAAATAATCATTATAAAAACCAAATCATTATAAAAATTCTTCACATATTGGCATAAAAATCTAGATAGATACCAAATAAAATATAAGAAACTTGTCGAGGAGAACTCAAAGAAATTACAAGCCATTAATTTTACTAATTTTACTCAAAGAACCAAATGACTGATTTTTAGTTCTTCTGATAGAATTTATAATTTGTTTTGTAATTATGTAGGTTTCATTATCTTTCTAGGATATAATACAAAGCCAGTAATGGATCATATGATCATGAGAATTGCCCAATTCTGGTGAAAAAAATGAAGAAATTCTCCAGAAGCATGCAGCATTTATGCCGAGTGCAAGCTGAGAAGGCCATGCCCATGAAGTTTATCCTTAAAAATGCTGTTCTGAGGAAGTGAATTTGGTTATTTTTCCTCTACTAACATGTATTCTTTGAAAAGTCTACCTGCCTTCATGATGTATTTCATTCTTTTAAAACCTGACATATATACTAGTTTTTTCTCCATAAAGGAAAAGGCCTAATCAATTAAAATATCCAAGCCATAGGACTGTAGCTTTCAAATTAGAAGTGTGATTTTAGTTTATATAATAGACAGGCTCAATCTTTTCATGAGCACTAACTTCCTTTAAAATACTTTAAAATACTTCTTTTATACTTGGAGTAGATTTAAATTTGTTTGTTTCTTTTCTCTAAATAGGCTTTTATGAAAAGCACCCAAATGTTTTATTGGACTGGTCTCTCTTTTACTAAAGAACATGGTGCCTGGTTGTGGGAAGATGGCTCAGCTCCCTCTCAAGATCTGTAAGTCTCTGACCTTTTACATTTTTTCTTTTAGAATTTTTTATTTTTCTCTTGAAAGTCTCATCCAGGAGTTTCATATCTTAAAAAACTGTATAGGGCATAAGAATACATAAAAAATAGACACACCCAGAATAACAATCATGGCTTCACGTAGCACATTCAAGTTTATGTTCAACCAAATGAAGTTAGTGTACTTGTGACCTCATAAGTACTTCGATGTCTGTTTTATTTTCATTTTTGTATAAGCATTTGAAAGCTTATATGTATATACAGATGCTAACACATACAAAGGCAATTCAGAGAAAATGCTATATCCATCATTTTCATTATTCTGCTAGAGCTTAATGTTCCTAGCATCTTCCAATATCTTCTGCCTTTTTATTTGAATTTTGAAATATTTGAATCTCATTTTCATTTATATAGATGGCATTTGCAGAATTTATGCTCTGGCTTTTTGTTGCAGATTAAATCACACAGTACTTCATAAACAAAATAGACAACAGCAACAAAACAAAACACAAAATCTCTGCCATCCACACTATTAATTATTGAGAAAAATTTAGTTTTGCACAGTACTATACTTTAAAATCATGAAAATTCTGGTTATTGATAGAAAAATTCCAGTTTGTTAATATCCCACTTAAATGATTTTAAAAGTCTGTCATTTAATAAACAAGTATCCTTGAACATTCTCATTTCTTTTTTCCATGTTAATGTTTTTTTCTTTGTTGCAGACTCTCATTGCTTCCAATTCCAACTCCAGGGCACTGTGTAGTGTATAGTCCAAGAAGAGTGGCTGACTCTAAACTCTGTGAAATCAGTAACCGTTACATTTGTAAGCAACGGCTTATTTAAATGTTAAAGCAAAACGGTGGACAATACAGAATACTCAATACTAAAAGTAGTACCTTTTCTTCTTATTATTCCTGCCTACTTCTGGGATCTGTAAATTGTTTCAAACTATCTTTTCATATAATTCTCAAATATTTGAGGCCATGCATTTTTAAAATAGTGGAATTTGTATGACTACACATGAAATTATAGTGTAAAGATATATAATTACTTGTATTTTTAAATTGGGTATGTATATTTAATGTTAAATATGTTTGTGCACATCTGCTAGTAAATTGTCTTGGAAGAACTTTAAATAAAGGTTAATTCATACCATGTAATACATATCCACACTGTTTCATTCCTTTTTATGAGAAGTTTTAGTTTTACTTCACTTTTCTGGAAGTAATAATAATTTTAAAATTCCTAATTCTTTATGGGTATTCTTAAATAAAAATTGATTTAGGAAAAATGCACTTAATATTCATGGAGAAAGTTTCAATAGAGGATATAATATCTCTCAAATACTTATTTATTTAATTTTAAAAAGAGTGAAACTAAACGTAACAAAACAGAACAAAGTAGGTCAGAAGGAAGCAATGTAAGTTACACAAATTTCAAAGCAAGATAACAGGGTATCTACCATGGCTACCATAATGTCTTTTGTTTTCTTCCAAGTAGTCATCCATATCTTCACACAATGAATTCATACGAAATGAAATAGTGTTAAACTGATCAGAACACAGTGATGAAGGCATTATAGGCCAGACAATAGGAAAGCCAACAATGGCTGCCATAATGTCTCTCGTTATCCTCAAAGTAGCTGTCCATACCCTCATGTATGTTGAAATTAAACAATACAAAACAGACTAAAATCACTCTGAACAAATAAAAATAGCATTATTGGATTTCACAGCCTGACAATACGGTATCAACAATCGATACCATAATGTCTCTTTTTCTGCAAAGTAGCTGTTTATTTCATCACGCACAATATAATTGATTCTCATAAACTGTTTAGGGGAAGTTCTACACATGTATAAGTCTCTACATGTACACCTATACTCTCTCTATTAGAGAGAAAATCAAAACATAACAAAACAAATTACTAGAAGAATAAGAAACAAAAAGACAAATAAGTAACAATAGCAAAGAGCCTAAAACAATGACGATATAAGCCTTCAAAACAAGGTGGTAGGAGCATCACTAGAGTTGACATTTTGCATAATGATCTTCAAGAGTTCCTCAGATCCCCAGACATTAACATGTAAAATTGTCCCAATTATATGAATGTTAGCTGTTTTGTTCCAAACTTGTGAAATTTGAAGCACAATTGTCTTAGCTATCCTAAGTGTGTTTATACAATTTTAGATATTTTTTCTTTTTCCTCTTTTTCTTGAGATATTATTTTTCCCTTTTGAGCAGATTCTTATCCTTTCACTGTATTTATTGAGAATTTTCAATCTTATGTACTCTTACAATTTATTATACTAGGGAGACAATACAATATTTACACATGTGAGTTTGATTTATTTCACTTATGACTATGGTCTCAAGTTGTGACCATTTATTTACATATATCTCAATGTGATCATTCTTTATAACTGAGTAGTACTCCACTGCATAAAAATATCATCTTTTTTACCCATTCCTCAGTTGATGGGTATTTAGGTTGTTTCCAAATCTGGCTATTACAAATTGTGCTGCTATAAACATGTGCACATATATCATTGTGAAGCGATATTTTCAGTTCTTCTGGAAATATGTCCAGTAGTGGAATAGCTGGGTCAAATGGGACTTCCAATCCCAGCTTTTTGAGGAACCTCCAGACTGACCTCCACACTGGTTGCAATAATCTGCACTCCCACCAACAGTGCAGAAAAAGTCCTTTTTCCTCCATGCAGCCTCTCCAGCATTTGTTGTTAGTTTTCTTGATCCTAGCCATTTTTCTGGAATGAGATGGGATCTCAGTGTCATTTTAATTTTCATTTCTCTAATGACCAATGATGTTGAACATTTTTTCATATATTTATTTTCCTTTTGTATTTCTTTGTCTGAGAACTGTGTATTGAGCTCAGATCCCATTTTTGGATTGGGTCTTTGAATTTCAGGAGTTTGATTTTTAAAATATTCCTTATATGTTCTAGACAGAAGTCCTTTGTCTAAGGATGTGACCCCAGTTATAGATTCTGGGAAGTATTTCCCACATGGTTTGATTTTTGTTCATGAATTCTCCTCGTATCCCTATGTCTTCAAGATTTCTACCTACTTTGTCTTCCAACAGATTTAGTGTTTCTGTTTTAATATTTAGATCTTTGATCCATTTAGATTTTAGTTTAGTATGTACACTAGTTTGTAGTATAAATATGTCAGTTTTTTGGTTGCTAGTGTGAAGGATGTGGCTTCTCTTATTTCTCTCTCAGTGATTTCACTGTTCATGTACAGAAATGCTATTGATTTTTGAGTGTTGACTTTGATTCCAGCTACATTACTAGATTTATTTATTATACCTAGGAGTCTTTCAATGGAGTTTTGAGGGTCTTCTATGTAGAGTATCATGTCATCTACAAATAATGATAATTTAAATTCTTTTTTTCCTATCCTTAATCCTTTTATTTCTCTCTCATGTCTAATTGCTCTGGCTATTATTTCCAGCACTATTGAATAGCAGTGGCAATAATGGACATTCTTGTCTTATTCCTGATTTTAGGGTAAAGGGTTTCAGTTTTTGGCCATTTAATATGATGCTGGCTATTGACTTTTATCATATCGAGGTAAAGAGCATCTATTCCAACTTTCTGTAAGGTTCTTATCATAAATAAGTGTTGGACCTTATCAAAAGCTTTCTCTGCATCTATTGAAATGTTCATGTGATTCTTATTTTTGGCTCTACTGATATAGTGGGTTACATTTATTGATTTTCATATATTGAAGCATTCCTGTATTCCTGAGATGAATCCCACTTGGTCATGGTGTATAATTTTCTTCATGATTTCATGCATTCTGTATGCCAAAATTTTATTGAGAATTCTGCATCTATGTTCACTAGGGAAATTGGCCTGTAGTTCTCTTTTTTGTTCTGTCTTTCTCAGGTTTTGGTATTAGAGTAACACTTTCTTCCAGGAATCAGTTAGGGAAAATTTCTTCCCTCTCAATCTCATTGAATAGTTTGAAGAGTGTTGTCACTAAGTCTTCTTTGAATTTCTTGTGGAATTCAGCAGTGAATCTATCTGGACCTGGGATTTTCTTTGTTGGTAAGGATTTAATTATATTTTCAATTTCATTAATTAAAATTGAGTTGTTCAGCAGATTTACATCTTCTTGACCCAGCTTTGATAATTCATGTGTTTCTAGGAATCTTATCATTTATTCTGTGTTATCAAACCTATGAGAGTAGAAGTTTTTGAAATATGTATTGATGATCTGTGTTTCCACAGGGTCTGTAGTGATTTCACTCTTTTCATTGTTTATTACATGAATTTGAGTTTTTTCTTTCCTTTTTCAAATAAGATTTCTAGGAACTTATCAATTTTATTTATTCTTTCAAAGAACCAACTCTGATTCATTGATTCTTTGTATCATTTTCTTATCAGATTGATTTCTGCTCTGATATTTATAATTTCATCCCTTCTTTTGGCTTGGGCATCACTTGTTCTTCTGTTTCTAGATGTTGGTAGTGTTGCATCAAGTTGTTTATTTGTGTTCATTCTGTCTTCCTGATGTGGTAATTCACAATAAATTTTCCTCTGAGGACTGCTTTCATTGCATCCCACAGATTCCAGTAAGATGTATTTGTATCTTCCTATGCCTGTAAATATCGTTGAATTTCTTCTTTAATTTCCTCTGTGTCCTACTGATTGCTCAGGAGTGTATTATTCAATTTCCATGTGTTTGTGGGAGTTTCGCAGTTTCTTTTATCATTAATTTCTAGTTTCATGGCACTGTGATAAAATAACATGCATGGGATAATTTTAAATCTTTTGCATTTACTTAAGCATGTTCTGTGGTCTCGTATATTGGCCTATCTTAGAGAATGTCCCATGTGTTGTTGAGAAGAATGTATATTCTGATGTTGTTGGGTGGAACACTTTGTAAAAGTCCACCAAGTGCATTCGTTCACAAATGTGATTCAGTTTTACTATTTCTTTGCTAATTTTCTGTCTAGTTGATTTGTTCCTTTGTGTCCATGGCATGTTATGGTCTCCTGTTATAATTGTGTAATTGCTTATTTGATTTTTCATTTCTTTTAATATTTGTTTTGTATAGCTGGGTGCTCGAATTTGGTGCACATATATTTAAGATTTTTATCTCTTCCTCTTGAAGTTTTCCCCTAACTAGTATGTAGTGAGCTTCTTTATCTCTTTGATCATTCTTGTGATCTGTATGTCAGTTTCCATTCTCATGTTTGGGAAATTTTCAGCTACTACGAATCAAATTCATGAGGTTGTGCTGACTAAGCAGGTGCTTATGCTGCTGAGTTAAATCCCCAGCCCAGCTATTATTTCTGTAAATAGCCTCTTAATATCATTTGTGTTGTCACTTTGTTTTTCATTTATATCTATCAATCTTATGTTGTTCTTCTTTGCATCATCTTGCAGCTGTTGAATTGTTATTTCTTAATTCCTTGTTATTTTTAAAAGATTTACTGTTCACTAGCTGCAATCTTGTCTTTGAGGTCTGAAAGTCTTTCTTCACTTTTATTGTGTTTTGCTGAGTTGATTTTGGCAACTTTTGAAGGGATTTTTTTTATTTCCTGTATATCATGTTACTGGGATGTCTTACCAGATGCTCCAGGTAGGGAAACTCAAAGACATTTATGTCTGTGGCCTTATGAAAGTAGTAAATTCTAATATTCATAGAAAATCTCAAAATATTTTAAAAATAATTATATCTCTGAATTACAAGCATGGACAGTTTGCACTGAAATGAACAAGAGAATAAAAGAAATAACATAATACATACATGCATTCATGTGTTTGTTCCCCAAATATTGTGAACTGAATCCAAAAGAAAATAAAAATTTCTCCAAATCAGAAAAACAACCAGTCAGCCAAGCAAAGAAAGACCTATAAATTAAGAAAAAATGCTCAATCACAATTATTATACATGAATTGCAAGCCACAATACAAAGAAACTACATTTCTCATTCATCAGGCAAATTTTTATAAAGTTCAGCAACATTTTATACTATAGATTTAGTGAGGAAAAGTTATTTTTATGCATTGCTAATGGGAAGGCTAAATGCTACATTTCCAAGGAGGAAATTTTCCCTCTCACTCTGCTCTTCTTTTTAACACATTATTTGATAATGAAACATTTTTTTTTCTCTTTTTGTTTTGGTGTCTTCATACAGGCATGTGTATGTGTATACACACACACACACATACACACACACAATGATTCAGCAATTTCAATAGTTAAGAAGAATCATAACGGCACTCTATATTCTACTCTGGTGAAGCCCCACAGTATCAAATATTCTCAGACTTTTTTCAAAGATTCCAAGTTCACCTTCCCTGTACTTTTAATCTTTGAATCACTGTTCCAATTATAAACGTGAGTTTTGAGTTTTGAATGATGATTCTGAATGTTATCCTCCAGGACTTTCCCTAATAATCAAGAAATATCAAGAGGTGTAGTCATTGATTAAATAAAAATGGAGGAATGACTGAAATATTGTTTCATACACATGCTTTCTTTTCTCATGTTGTTTTTATTATAATTTATTTTAACTGACGCATGACATGTACAAATTGTACATATTAATGGCAAAACCAACTAATGGTTTAGTAGATGCATACATTATACAATACTCAAATGTGTTAAATAGATGAATATCTTCAGAGCTTCATTTTTTTGTTGTTGTTCGTTTTCTTTTATCATGTACTGTGCTGGGCATAAATCCAGGGCCTTTGCACTTAGCTGCTTTCTTACCCTAATGCTTCCACTCTCCTCCCCTCCACTTTCTTCCTCTTCTGTTTCCCTCCTCTCCCTTTCTCTTTCTATTTTGAGACAAGATCTTGATAAATTGCTACACTGCCCAGGATGAGCTCAATTTTGTAATTCTCCTGACTAAGCCCCCAGAGTGCTTGAATTACAGAGATGCATCACCATATCTGGCTCAGTCATCATTTCTGTTCGGTAAAGTCCTTTCTTTCAATTTTTTGAAATGTGCACACCATTATTATCTATCCTCACCCCACTGGATCACACCACAACAGAACTTGTTACTGTTATTTAACTGTAACTAAGCACACATTTACTAGCATTTCCCTTGCTTCTTCCACCTGGTAAACTCCACTGCCTGTAGTAACCTTAATTCTTCCTTAATTAGCAGGAGATCAAGTTGTTTAGGTTCTCCACAGTTAGAACATGTATTGCTTGCCTTTCTATGCCTGGGTTGTCAATGTAATTATAAATGATAAGATTTCTGTGTTTCATATGACTGAACAGTATTGCAATCTGTGTATATGTCACATGTTCATTATTCATTCGCCAGTTAGTGGACACTGGGGTTATTTGCATTTTTAAATATTGTGAAGAGTACAGCAATAAACATGGGGATATCTCTTTGATATACTGATTTCAGAAATCCAGTAGCATGATGTTTGCATCATATTGTGGTTCCATTTTTGGTTTTCTGTTTCATTTTATTTTTATTAGAACATATTAGTTAGACAGAATAGTGAGTTTGTATTGACATTTTCCTGCTTGCATGTAATGTTCTTTGATCTTCTCCACTCCTTTTATTCCTTTTCCCTTTCTCCAATGCCTTATTCATAACCTCTCTGCTAGTGCCTTCCACTTTCATATTGTCTGTGATATTCACTTTTTAGATTCCATACATGACAGAAATTGTTATATTTGGGTTTCTGAATCTGGTTTATTTCACTTAACACTATGATATCCAGTTTGATATATTTTACTGAAAATGACATGATTTCATTCTTCTGTGTGGTTAATCATCCATTGTATATATAAACCATGTTTTCTTTACTCATTCATCACTTGATGGCAGCTGAGCTGTTTTTGCAGCTTTGTTATTGTGAATTACACCACAGTACACCTGAGTATATAAGAATCTCTCTAGTACGTTGACTTTAATTTTTTGAGGAATATCTTAAGACTGGTATTATTGCATAAAACAGTAAGTCTATTTCAGAAGCTTTTCAGTCTTTTAAACAATGAAAATAAAAATTAAAAGTAAATTCTAAAATTATAGATAATAGGATCAATCCATAAAATGGCATAAATTAATGTAAAACAAATGTAATTAATTTTAAGAAATACGTGCTGTATCTGAATTGATTGACAGTTTGCTTGTTTGGTAGATTGTGTCTTAGAGCTTTATACCAAATGACAAATTAGTTATGAAGCTGAAGTTTTACTGAGAAAAACCATGCAAAGTCCCCACAGAGACAAATAGCATTAACTATTCTTGAACTGAAAGAAGCTAAAAGTGATACAAGATATTTTACTTTTAAGATTCTTGCTCCTAGAACTATAATTGAAAATAGGGTGTGATATCTAATAATACATTACACAGAACTAAAACAGCAGTGGAGAGGTGACCAGCTTGCGTGCGTGTATTTCATTCCTTTTGAAATGCTAAGACTTGAACAAAACATATTGACCACTACAGAAAATATACTAGGTATTTTAAAATAACTGAAAGTCCGACTCGTGACAGGTTCCACCCTAATGATGTTTTCAGGTGTCAGGACTTCCTATGTGGTTGTATCCGGAGAGCTCGCATTGCTACATTCTGTGCTCACTCTATTAATTTCTCAGGTAGGGGCAGCTGACAAAGATAGTAGCTTATGTATCTATTCTGTTTCTTTGAATTTATCTTGGACTTTATATTACGGATCATCAGGAATTCCTAAACTCAGAACTTTTATCCTAACAGTGAAGAGCATCTTTGCCTGGGATCTATACATTCTGCAACAATCTTGGTGTTGTTCTCTAAAAGTAAGGTATTTATATTTTTCAAGATATTAATTCATTGTATTCAAGGACCAATGTTTTTAAAACTTTCAGTAAAGGTGGGTCAAATTATTTGAATCAAAAGAATAAAGGTTTATTTTTCAGAATGTATGGCTTCAGATAGATGAAATATCAATAGGTGACAGATAAGAAAACAAAAAAAACTTGGCCATATTGCATTTTTATGACAATTATCAGAAAAAAGGAAATTTGGAAATGAATCTGATATAAATATGAAACATGAAACAGTTCAAAAATTCTATTGGAAAAGGCTTACAGGATTCACCATTAGGTTTGGACTTTGCTTAATACATCCAATAACTATAGAGTATTTAGGAGCAAGAGATATTTGAAGCTTCGTTTGAAACATCTTAAGACCTATTTCTAAACTATAATATATTTAGTGTACAAAGTATTCAATTTAGTGTAAAACTGTAGCATCATTCAGCTGAGACTTCTGTGCTCAGTGGGTCATAGTGAGAAGGCAGGAGCACAAGACAGAAAGAGGTGACTGGTCGGAAGAGAAATAGAAAAAGACAGGACTATTCACGGGAGGATGTGATAAATGAAATAGTTATGAAATATTCTTAAAGTCAATAGTAAGATTTAATTCATATTTTAGATAATTACATATTGATTGTGGTGCAACATGGGAGGGCCAATATACACTAAAAAAGAGAGAAAATTCTCTAATAGCATAAAAGTCTGTATGAGCAGATCAGAATTGAAGTGGGTAATAAAATGTTTTTTGTAAAGATGGAAACAGATGCTGTGAGACATAGAGGCTCCCAAGGGCATGAATCAATGGAACCTGGAAGAATTTCTCACATCAGGTTTTTAAACACTTTTATTTGATATGCAGTAACTATTAAATAATTCAACAGGTGTCAGAAGTTTGTAATTAAAAAAAAACATTTCCTTTGGATTGTAGTCACAAATGGTATGCAACAAGTCATTTTATAAATCTTTATAAATGTCAATGATAATCTATTCTAAATAATGTTTGCTAATTTGAGAGAAACTGTAAATCCTCTGTAAGGCTTACATAAGAACAATCTGTATGGGCATCCAACTTAGTGACAGCATTTATATGGACCATGACTTATGATAAAGATTTTGTTATTTCACATGCATTTCTACTTTTCAGAAATGAGCGGGGAAAAAGTGATTTATTCTGATTTGGTAATTGAGCCTCCATCGCAGTCGCAGAGGAGAACCCGTGAGTTATCTGAAGCCCAGCGGAGTACCCATTTGGAACAGCACGGTTTGTGGATTTTTCACATTCTTACACTTGGCTCTGTATTTTAAAACAGTGTCGGTAATATGTCTTTAATTGAACACTGCAAAAGATCAAACTTTCACTAGCAATCACAAACTAAACTTAAACGGGGTTGAAGTGAGGGTGGATTTTAGTTTTGGAAAAGAAATTACACAATATTTCACATGACCTTAGCTTTAGATACTAAACCAGGACACTTTAAGTGAAATAGTAAGTTTTATAAATAAAGTTATTTTATATGCCAACCTTACACTTTTGAAGATGACAGAATCACAATAATGGATAGTTACAGAAATAAAGGAAAATTACCATCTCATATGTTCTGTGAATTCATGGTAATTTAATTCTTATTTGTTTTATTGCTATATCTGTACTTTTCAAGTATATTTTGTTCAGCATTTTATCTCATGTTGTGTTTTATCACTACAATTTCATTTTCATATTTTATTTATCACACAGGATTGTACAAATTTGGCACAATTGTGTTATTTGTTTGTTGTTTATTTCCATATAGTAAAATGAGGTGCCTTTTGTGTAAGATGAATGATTAGTTAAAACAAGAATATATGTAAACATACCTATTAGCTGACCATGAATTTCCTTTCTTTTATTCTGAGAATCTGGAAAGTAAAATGGTAAGAATATAAAAGGTAAATATTTTCAAGTAGGGAAACATCAACAATATCAAATGGCACAGTGCCACTGAGATTATGGTAAGTCATTAAATAGGATTCTTAATGACATTCTTGAAATCAACTTCATAATTGGCTAGAGAGTCCAAAATGGAGATGAAATAAAGAAAGAAAAGAAGAAAGAGATGTTAAAAAAGAGGTACAAATTTAAACTATTCTCCCAACAGTTTTTAATGAAAGAAAGATGCTTTGCTAGAGGCAATCACAGGGGAAAAGGAGATAGTTTACTTATTGTATATATTCTTGTTCTGACTTGAATCCATTTTGGTTTGAGAAAATGAAATGAAATTACGTGGAAGAGTTAGAGTAAGTAGAAACACTACAAAATGTCCAGGAAACAAAGACAGACTTTTAAAATGCCACAATAGTACAACATGTAATAGAGAATATCGATACATTGGAAGGTATTAAAATACTTAGAGTTTCTATTAAAATTCTTGAAAGTAAAAAAGGAAGAATAAATGTAAGTATATCTGGCAAAGATGGGTATGTTGAATACAGGATCGATTCTTTAAAATAACAAATAATTATAACACATAAATTTCCAATAAAAACTGTCCTAGCAAATCATTCACAGAAAACCTAAATAAGAGAATCACATAAGAAAAACATTGAAATTTAACAGCTTAAAAATACAAAGTAAAACTCTAAGAACAATAATGTCTATGAAATTTGAAACTTGATTGTAACTTGTCATAGAAAAAGAGGAAAGTCCCTTAAAAGAGCAGAACAATCAAATAAATTATTGTATAGCTTTGAGTGTTAATATTATGTAGGTAATTTAAAATATTTTTCAAGCATTTAATGATCTGTGAAAATATTAAAATGTGTTTTAAATATGTAAAATAATGAAAGTAATAAAGTACGATGATGGTGGAACAGTCTCTAAGTGAATTCATTAGTGATTAAAATTTTAATTTATCATTTCTGAATTTTTCAAATTTTAAACTCATTGCATATAATTTTAGTTTAAAAGATATCTAATATTAAAATTAATATAAGACCATTAATTCAAGAAGGTTTTTACATAATGAAATCTTAGGTACACAGAATCATTCAGACATACAAGATCAACACATCTCCTTGGAGCTTATGATACAATAAAAATCTGAATATACATATTGAAGATAATATTGAACAAATTACTCTTGTCTTTCCAACAGGTCGTTCTGCTCCTTCGTCTGCATGGAAATTAATTGCACTGGGTATGCTGTTCATCTCCATGGGCCTTCTTTTGTCTCTTATAACCGTAGCCACAAAGTGTAAGTCTGATCAAAATGAGGTTGAGTTGCTTGCTACTCATAGGAAGGAATCTCTTTAACATCGTTCACTTGCATGTTCCATTTCAATTTCTAAGGGTCAGTTATATTTTAACCATTGTCTCTGCATTGCGGATGATTTTAAGAGTCATATGAAATTGCTTCCCAGGCCCTTATCTTGGGATCATTCATATTGTCTTATCTATCTGGATTATCTTTACCTTGCTGATACCTTGGTCTCATACTTAATATCAACTTCACATCGCAATTACTTCTGAGAAATGTCAGGTTTTCTTACTCAAACTCAGTTGGTCAGTAATCTGTGCTATAATTTAATAGGATAATTTTCCTTTCAGATTGAAATTGCTTTTAAATTTGTTGTATTTGTCTTGTTTTCTTGAGTAAGAAGTCTTTGACAATGTGTTGTTACTGTTAGTATCTCGTAGTAAGTGCAATGTTTTGTGCAATAGCAAATTTATCTTAATTTCAATATGATGATCCAAAATGATGTTTTCAGTTTGTTCTTCAGCAGCAGAGACATATTCAGAAAATCTCACCTGCAGCCAAGGAACACATCAACAGAGATTGCTTTCAGGAAATTCAAAGAATGAACAGTCACTAATAAATGTTCAAGGTAGTTTCAAATAAGCTCATATATTTTCTTTTTTTTTAAGATTAAGATAAAAAGAAGACATAACAAAACAGGTCAGAACAGAACAATTTAAGCCACATAGTGTTTCCCCACAAAACAACCCGACATAACATTAGCTACCATAGTGTCTCTTTCCTTGAAATATTTGAGTATACCTTCATATACTATAGTATCAAACATAACAAGACAGCATAAAACCATTCAAGAGAATGAAAGAAGATCATACATTTTCTAAGAATTAGGAAATAATTAGAAAGAATGCAATGTCACCTGCACTTGGAAAAGCTTTGGATCAGCTTATATTACAGTATCAGCCAGTAGAAATGAACTTGTCTAGATGTCTTAGTTTTCCATATGAAAGTATAAAGTGTTCTCATTTTTCCATCTAATAATATAAAGAACATATAAGTAAGTGAATGAATCATACTGCACATACATATGACATGTTTACCAATAATAGTTTTAAAATGGGAAGTTATTGGAAATACTAAAATGTTAGCAACTCTGATATTAGAAAGAGTATGTTATAACTTACCTGTACATTATTCAAATTAGCAGTACAGCAACTTAAATTAGATCATTTGCTTTGTCATTTAATTTATGTATGAGTTAATATGTCCTACAATGTTAACACCGATGTTTCAAATTATGGATGCATTGTTTGCACATATTTGAATATCACCTCCTTTTTCTGTAGCTTGGAAGTGTCACCCTTGTGATGACAACTGGCACCAGTATGGGAGCAACTGCTACTTTGTTTCTTCAAGTTTAACAGCTTGGGAAGTTTGTAAACTTCAATGTGCATCTTCTCTTTCAACGTTTTTTAGATTCAATGCTAAAGAAGAGCTGGTAAAGATAAACCACTATTTTTAAGTTTTCACACATTTCTCTGGGAGAAATTTCTTAGACTGCAGCTTTTCTATCTTCTAAGATATCTACATAAATAAATTTATGTGGTCCACATAAGGATACTGTATTCATTTCCTCAGGTTTAGTATAAAGTCCCTTGTCAGCAACAACTGTGCACGTTTTATTCATATTTGAACTTTTCCTATCTCTCCAGCCTCCTCAGGCACAGGAAGCTTCCATTGCCCTGGCTTCCTCACCATTTGTTTGTTTGTTTGTTTCTTTCTTTCTTTTTTTTTTTTTTTTTTTTTTTTTGTCTTTTTCGTTTTTATTGGTACCAGGGAACGAACTCACGACTGCCTGCTTGCAAGGCAGGTGCTTATGCCGCTGAGCTGAATCCCCAGCCCATCATTTGTTTCTTGTACGCCTCCTGCACATTCCTTACGGTGTGGTCCAGTCTACTCCTGAAAATTTCCATCTCCCACTCCTAATCTTGTGTGACCTTCTGATAAATCCCTATTTACTTTCCTAGTTCACCATCGAATCACTATGCCTTGAAAAAAAAACTTGATCCCCTAAATCCTGTGGATGTTTCTGATAGGTACTGTCCTTTTATTCCCTATTTCTTTTGTGGTAGCAACTGTTTACTCAATGGCTTTGCTCTTTGCTTTGATTCTTTGGTAAAGATGCTATTTATTCAACTCCAAATATATAGCTACCAGAGTATTATAAGGACCCATCATGAATAAATAAATTATTGGTTATTACTGTGTAGAATCTACAGAGGATTTTTTCTTTTTTGTACCGAGGATCGAACTCATGACCTTGTGCTTGCCAGGCAGGTGCTTATGCCGCTGAGCTAAATCCCTGGGCCTGAGCATTTTTATTATACTGATAGAATTTCACATAAAATAAAAATGCCTAATAATGTGAAAATGTTTTTACACATTTTACACAATTGCTGTACTGGATTAATTGTTCTGCTTTCATTCTAGGATTTTGTAAAGAAAATATCAAGAATGGGGTGTCATACAAGTTCAAAAAACCTTTGGACCAGCTTAAAATTCAATGGCAGCCAATGGACTTGGTTAGATGGCTCAGTTTTTACCTCGGATGAGTTAGTATCTTCTTGATGTTTTAACGCAGCGGTTATAAAAAGTTAAAATCTGGGGTGCATCTGATCAGGTATTAAATTCTATAGCTCAGGGTTCTATAATTACAAAAAAAAAACTAGCAAATTAAAATTATCAATGTGCTATCGAGTTTGATTAAATATTCTCAATCAATTTTCCTATCAATTTTATTGTTCAGGGATTATTTACACTTTTATATAAATAAAATACTGTTTGAATAGTTTAATTTATACAAGATTATATTATAAACTTAACAGGTATCAGTGATAAACAAAACATAGATGTAAATATATCAGCAATTTATAATGATTAAAAAAAGCAATAAAAATCCTTTTGTTATAAGACATTATATAAGATGATATCCAAAGCTCAAAAAGCTAACATTCAAATCATTGTCCAATATGTATCCTACATTTTGACTGTCTATATATTATCTCTATATAAAATTTTTACCAGCAACATTTGCATATGCTGGACATAGTAACTTTTAGTTACATCTCTACTATTTGTTTCCTTAAATTCATCATAATATTACACCTGTATCAGTAATATAGGATGAGGAAAATGAGATCAAAATATTTAATTTGACAATTGCCCATACTTAATGAAAATCATATTCTTTAGAAACAATTCTATTCAATATACCTATTTTTTTGACCTTGTTAAATATTATTCTTAGTGTGTTCACAGTCTCATTCTCATTTTTCCAACACAAATGGAACAAATAAAACTTGATTTTGTGAATGAATTATAATTGTGTTTCACCTATAGGCTAATAATGATTTATCAACAGTCATTTTTCTAGATGTGTAGAGTTTCTATTTTCCTAAACCATAATATTTCCACATGTGCTAACAAATACTTATTGAGGATGGTGAGGGCAAAGCCATTTTCATAATGCTACTGAGATAGTATTTGGTCTTTTAAACCTCATTCTTTCATGCATGTATAGTAGAGAATTGTTCAGGCTTCATAATACATTAAATCACAACAGATTATTGAAATATATACAAGAATTCAGTTGTCTTTTTTGATGCTGAAAAGTTAAAAAATTTGCACACATGTAAAGCAATAGCAGTGTTTTCATTAATTGTTTTATTTTGGAAAATCTAATTATTCTTATTTTAATAATATATACATATTTATTATTGTCATACATATATTTATAGCAGCACTTTTAAAATGTTATGAACTTCAATTTTTGATGTAGTAAAAAAGGATTGTTGTACACTGAATAACAAAAGGTTGAAGGGACTACTCAATAAATTTTAGGAGGCCTGAAACAAATTTATGGGAATTTCTTTTGTAGTAAAAATATCATGGATTTTCCAACAAGAATATCAAACAAAGCAGGAATTCATTCTTCCTGGTGCACTATTAATACAACGGAAATGCTTCAAATTTTGTCTTAGCACACATAGAGGATAACCAGAACCAAAGAAAATATTTACCATTCCACTTCAACCAGCTTTTAAATGAAGCAAGTGTCTTCTTGCCAAAATTTATCACTTTCTTTACGTCATGTTTATCTTTCCAAAATTGTGTTTTTAGTTAGATTTTAGACTTTTGAAAAATTGAATCTGCATATTTTCACTAGCTTTGTTATTGTTTAAGGGAAAGAGTGTTGTTTTGTGGTTTTCCTCTCTGCCACCACCTTGCAGAAACTTTGAGGGAATATACATTATTTTCATTAATATGTTAATAATTATGTCAAAGAAATATTTCTCTGTTTATAAAAACATGTCATAATTTTCATTTAGTAGAGCTGATATATGAAGTAAATCTTAATTTATAATCAAAATTCTTTTATCTTCTAGGTTTCAATTGGATAGAACTGACATGGCTGATAATCAATGTAAATATATAAAAGATGGTCAATTACTAAGTGGTGACTGTACAGCACCAGGTTTTTGTGTATGCAAGAAGACAGTAAAGGAAAATTAAGGGTTTAAGATTTATATGGAAAGAAAAGATGAAATACAAATATCAATATTTTTCCAAGATAATTTTTACCTCATATTAAAAAAATCTTTTTCTAAAAATCTGTACCTTTAGGATATTAAATACAATACAATATTACTTGTAGCAAATATGATGCCAAATATTCTTAAGCATATTAGTTAATCAAAAGTCTACAATATATTAACAGTGAAAGGCATGAGATATAAAGGGCAGTAAGAATGGAAAGAAGAAATTAAGAAAATGTGGAAGAGAGAATTCATACAATTCTGGAGATTAAAGTTTTCTTATTACGTTTATTGGTACAATTTAGATAGAAATTCTAGAAGTTTGAGGTTCAACATTAGTTTGTTTTCTGAGATCTTTCTGTGTTTCTAACATGCAAGTTAACTGCTGTAAGTTTCATTCATAGGACTGCTTTTACTGGGTCACATAGTTCCGGAAAGATATATCAGAGACATCATTTAATTGTAGATACTATTTAATTTCTTCTTTAATTTCATTTGTGATCCATTGTTTGTTCAGTAGGTGTTATTTAATTTTCATGGGTTTGTAGAGTTTTTATGATTTCTTTTGCTATTGATTTCCTGTTTCATTGTACTATGGTCTGATAGGATGCATGGGATAATTTCAATTCATTTGCATTTACTAGTATGTTCTATGGATTAGTATATGCTCTGCTTTAGAGAATGTTTCATGTACCCCTAAGAAGAATGTGTGTTCTGATGTTGTGGGGTGCAGCACTCTGTAGCTTTCTAGTAAGTCTATTTGCTCATATTTGGTTCAGTTGTGAAATGTTGATTTTGTATAATTGATCTATCTATTTATAACAGTGGCATGTTAAGGGGTGGATTATAGTAGTTAACTGGTTGTGTTAATTTGAATAAGAAATTTCCAACTAAATTGGATCAGTATAATTCTGGGTGTAGAAGATTCATGCTGAGGGTGATTGTAGACAGAGAATTTTAAAAGAGAAATGAAGAAGGAAGGCTTGCTTCTCTTTCTTTGGAAGACCTCTAGTTTTTATCTCCACCGTGGCTATCACTTCCTGGTTTCTAGCACAGACTCTTCAGTCTTCCAGGATGCACTCTTCAGTCTCCCAACATAGATCTTTCTGTCTCCTGATACAGACCCAAATTGGACATTGTATTGAGCTCCTCGCCTTCAACTAGATCCTTTGGATCCCCACCTGGAGGCAGGCCTTTTATACTCTTCCACATCTGACTCTGCGGATGGCCTTGTAAGGCAATAAATTCATATAGATATAGATATACATATTCATATACATATAGAAAGAGAGATATAAATATATTTATGTCATAATAAATTTGTTTCTCTAGCAACCAGTGACTAATAAAGAAATTGAAATAGATAAACACATGTGTCAAATAGGTGATATTATTTTACAGAAAATATATTACTTAGGGTCAGAAAAGTTCATATGACACGAAACACATTTTAATTTACCAAGATATGACGTTCCCAATAGGCACAAATGCAATAATGTAGCTTTAAAATACATAATAAAATATTTGAAAAACCAACAGAATAAATAGGAAAAAATGAAATCAGCTTCATAGTGTGATATTTAAAATATTCCTGCAACTGTTAAAGATGAAGATCAAAGTTCAACAATAGATTTGAATGTGAAAGTAGCAATATTTTCTATTACTATATAAGTAATTTAGCATTACATAGAGAATATTGTTTTTCTCAACATCTTAGAAAAAATTAGATGATAATGATACATCAGGAGAGCACAGAGATCTACAAATTGTCAAGTTGATTTTTTGTAAAAAGTAATGAGACAAAAATCTTTGGAGAAATTCACAGAGGAAAATTGTCAGAAAGCATAGATAAAAATATCAGAGTTTACCAAGGGGATGTATATAGAGTTAAAACAATTTATCAAATAAAAACTTACCTTTATTTTATTTCATGTAAATCCAAAAATGTCAACAAAAAATCTAGGCAAATGTAATTGATTTAAAATTTGAATAATTATAAATCATGAAATTATTAAGTTGATGGCTTACTCTTTTGATATGGCTGAAGGGCTTTCAGCATGATTTTCATATGTCTTGGACTATTTTTCAATATCATATAAGCTATTGTGAGATATAGAAAACAAATAAATCTAGGTTTTTTTTGTTTTGTTTTGTTTTGTTTTTCTTTTTCCTTTTTATCAGTACTGGGGATCAAACTCACGACTGCTTGCTTGCAAGGCAGGCGCTTATGCCGCTGAGCTAAATCTCCAGCCCGAAAACAAATAAATCTGAATTTTCCCTAAGATGAGTTTGATATTGATAAAATAAAACGTATTGAGAGAATTAAAGCAGTATACTGTTTGATTTTATACTTAACGTGAATATTTAGACACATTTTCAAAGTCAAAATTATTACAGTTGATAGTTATAAAAATCTTTAAAAATTAAGACTTTTGCATATTTTATGTATAATCTATTTTACACTATGAACTCATTTATAATAATTCTACAATGTAAGTAATTTAACTGACCAAGTGATTCTTACCTTAATGCAAAAGAAATGCTCTTATAAATAATTACTTAATCAGAAAGATCTAACTAGATATTGAAAATATCTAGTTAGAGTATAATAAAATAGTCAAAATATACATGAATTTAAGAGGTAGTTCCTCCCCAACTACAAGAATAATAAATTTCATTTTAATAAATGCATGGCTCTCTACAGATCTGTAATAGTGGCATGGACTAGAAGTTAGCCTCTATGATTAGACTTGTATTGAAGGACAAGTCCTTATAGGTGAGGCGAGATCCTCTGCAGTGCACACACATGGGGAAGAGCTGGTTTGGTGAGGACAGACACACTGCTACCACAGGAAAGTGATTTCTTATGGCGAAGTGTATGGTATAGTAACCCGAGTTTTTAAAAGTCCAAATGGCACTTGTTCTCACCATTTTTCCCACCACCATTGAAGGTATTTTTCTTGGAATGTAAGAGTGGGCGAAGAGTGTGAAATATGTACAGTCTACAACATTTCGGGGAGTTCAGGTTCCAGAGCTCAGGTGGAGTTGGACATGAAGGTGAACCAAACTCTGAATCTCAGCCAAAATCCCTGCCAGAGAAAAACAGACAAGATCCAAGAACTCAAACATATGGCACTGGAGATAGAGGAGTGGGGTCTGTGGACTGCGGACCAACACAGGTAGTTTTGCAGCATGACTTTATATTGTATTAGTAATGTAACAGCCTGAGAAAAGGGCGTGCCTGGCTGTAACACCTTGGGGTCTGATGCTGTGACTCTTGGAAACAGGAAATCCTTTAAAAGTCCAACCCAGTGGTTCCTCTTGCCTTTGACCTGTACCACCTGATTGGCTACTTTTCAGCTGTAGAACAAGTGGGACTCCCTGCTACCTGCCAGGAGAGCATCTGTGTTCTCTAGGCTGCTTTCCTGAGGCTCCAGAGACCAGCTCAAAATGAACACCAGAATCTGTTCTTTTCTGTCTAGTAATAAATCTCTTGCAATGTAATTTATGTAACTTTTGTGGATGTGGGTCTTTTATTATACTAGATTTAGATAAATATGTAAGCAGTGTACACTGACTCTGCTTGACAGTAAAATCACAGGTCAAGTGTTACCACACAGGTATCACTGCAATATGGTGTCTTTTAATTCTTTTGGGAAATACATAGAAGGGGAATAGGTAGGTCAAATGGAATTTCTGTTTTTTTAGTTTTTGAGAAATTGTCATACTGATTTCTATAATGGTTGTACTATTTACATTCCCATCAACAGTGTAGAAGTTTTAAATCCTCCAAATCATAGAAAAGGTAAAGGAAACAAAAACCACAATCTCACCCTGGACAATTCTAAACAATGAAGGTAGTGCACTGGACCTCCCTGCTTAGAGCAACCTTTTATAACGTGGAGCTCATTGAAAGTTTGTGTGTATGGACTGTGTCTCATATATGCGATGGTGACAGGACGAATTATGGGAAGGTGCATGTACAGTAGGTGAGCAGACGTTTCTCAGGACTCTGTCATTCATGCTGTCAGCCATGTTCTGGAAAACACTCCACTCATGGAAAGGACATGGGCAGAGCATTTCAAGCACGGCATGGGGGTCTGGACAGGGCATTTCAACCACTGCACCCCATATCCTCAGAGTTCATGACATCTTCCGTTCACCAGCTGGAGCCTGCTTGCTCCAAGAGCCCTGCAGCTTTAATAAATTTTGCTTGCCTGCTGGCGTGTGCATTGTTCAGTTCTTTGTGTGCTTCACACAAGGACCTGGAATCTGTTCCTGTAGTCCACAGCCCATGGTAACGTTTCTACACTGAAATTGGCATTGTGATTAGATATGCATGCTCCTATTCCATGCTACTCTGCATTAGAGTTAGTTTTTCCCAGACAAGTTGTGTGCTTTGCCAGATCACTTTGACTTTGTTGCACATTTTTTGCCTTTATCTAAACAGTAATGTTGGCATGGACTGCATCATAAAATGGATAAAAAGATACATTTAGAGTGAATGGTACAAGTAACAGTGATCTTCCTAATTCTAAGTCCTGCGATGCGTATTAGTCACATTATGTTTTACTCAAATAATTTTCTCATATTGTCCACTTTGCTTAGAGAACATAGGTTCTGTATTATTGCAAAATATGTAATTTTTAGAGTATATTCTACTTTGAAAGAAATGATTAAGAGGTAAAGGTAATGAATAAAATTAAAAATTTAACGTAAGTTGCCATTAAATTTTAAAAATCAGAGTAATCATACTAAAAATGCTATACTGGAAAATTATGAAACAATTTTTGACAACTTTCAAATCTAATAGTGGTTAATACTGAGTGTTGTATAATAACTTACCATATATACCATTATTTATTGCAGTGCAATAACTTTGTTTTATTTTTTACCAAGGGGATGAAATGCTGTCCAATGTTTTAGTTTGAGTCATTGATGTGTTCTGAGAAATCACCACAATTTAAAGAAACAAATATTTTATATGTTGGAAAATGTTACATGCAACACTAAACTTATGCATAACATAAACAATATTGAAAATAAGAAAAAGGGCTTTTAGACCATTTATCAAAAAGTATTGTTAGTGCAAACTTTTTGAAAGATTGTATGGTTCACAAAATCAGTTCAGTCACTTTAGTTGTGTAAGTGTGATAGCTCTGATAATGAAACTTAGCAAGTCAGTCTTCAGGCCCTGGAATCAATGAGATCTACAATTATTCTGGCTTTGCATCTTACAATGTGTGACCCTGAAAAAAATTACTTACTGTCTACTAAGTTAGTTTACACACCTCAAAGAAAAATAAGAATTTATAAATGCGATACCTATAAAACAAATGCATCACTGCCACTTCTGTTCTCCAAATGAAACTTATTTTTTATTTTTTTTTACTATTTTAACAGAATTTTCATGTTATTTTTGGCTCATAACAGAACATGTAAAAAGTTATTCAACAGGGTTTTTATGGCATTATATTACATCCATGTTTGGCAATCCTTGTTCAATTTTTAGTTTTCTAAATTCAGATAAACACTTTATAAGAATATATCAAATTTATCTTTTTGTTAAAGGTGAAAATATTTTTATTTAATGTAAGTTAGGATATTAAAAATTGATCTTTATGATTTGATGATTCATTTTATGAATATACTTCTGAAGTTTGGTGCAAATAAAAAGCACAACTCTATATGTACCATTTTAAAAATAAAAAATTCATTATCCATAGTCATGATGCCTATGAAGTTGTATTTTAAGATGTATTGATTACCATGGTTCGTGCTTATAATTCTTGCACTTGGGAGTTTGATGCAGGAAGATCACCATGACTTCAAGACCAACCTGAATTATATAGTGAGATCCACAAACAAACATATTGATTATCAATCCAAAGGGTATCTTATTTGTGTGCATTCCTATCCTCCTTAGAACTTTTACTAGAGCTGAGATTTTGTGTCTTAGTACTATTCAATTGTAACCTTCTTTTATCATAATGAAATAGAAGTCAGTTTCTCCCCCTCTGATACTTGCCATGTCAATAATACAGTATTTCTGCCAAAATGTTATGTGTGTGTGTGTGTGTGTGTGTGTGTGTGTGTGTGTGTGCCTTTCAATATATGCATATATTGAAAGGATATGTATATATTGAAAGCAGGAGATGTCAACTGAATAGTGGATCTGCTCTTTTCTATATTATATTTCTTTGGTAGCATGTGACTTCTATTTTGAAAGGTGAGAGAGATATGGCATATTTTACTGGAGAGTAATATTCATAGCCTGCCTTCTTTGTTCACATGAGAAAAATTCAGTACATGGTAGTGTGGTGGATTTCAGACTCTCGGTAAGACAGTGCCTCAAAGTTTCTTGGTATTCGTTACTACTCCTCATATTGAGCAGGTCAAGGGATATGATAAATAGTATTATGATTTATGAATACCTAGATCCTTTACCAATATCAATAGTTCTTTGGATCTCCTAAAATTTGAGTAGTACTATATAAACAGAATTGAAAGTAAATTCCAATCTGAATTTCTTTTTGCCCAGGCACTTCCTATCTATAATGCTCCAGTACACATGAAGACTATGGACATGGTGATAAATGAAACTCACAGATTATACTCAGTTCTTAGCAGGCTTCATAGGGCATGTAAGAAAGATGCTGAAATCAGTGGAATGCTCATTCCAATTTTACAGCGGTAATATTATCAACATTTGCTCTTCACTGAGACCCAAAGCATTGGCCAGAGTCTGAGGAGATCTTCTCTGAAAGGTTTAGGGACCCTGGAAAGGGAGCCTACTGTTAACCAGCCTGGTCCACGCATGCAGCAGGTGTCTTACAGAGATATGTGATTGCACAATCATTTACATGTAACCAACTATGTCTTTTTATTTCCGGAATTTTATTTTAAATTATGAAATGATATTTACTCTGAAAAGAACAACAGAGAAAAGCCCAGAGAAAAAGGAAAGTATATTCACATAGTTTTCATACCTTAAGATAAATTCTTAATAAAGGTGAAATATGTGATTATGGACCAATTTAAATAGTGTGTGGTTAGTAACTTGAGTGGTATCCTATTTTACTTATGTTTTTATTTTACTTGCAATAAACTATGTCATTCACTGTGTTATGTTATCTATCAAGATATATGCATACATACATGCATAAACACACACGCATACGTACACACATGTCTTTTATTGATGTGTTCATCTGTCCCAGCTTACTTAACCACTATCTTATTTCAGGTGTTAGTATTGCTTATCTCTTTCAGGTTTTCTGTGCATTTACCTTCAGCTCTGAGTTTACATGAGCTTAGGAAATGATTCTACTATTGGGTTAAACAACGTTAGGTGGTTGCCCTTGTGTGATGGTAAGTGTTCAGGGGGAGGCCAGAGCAGCTGTCCTCATTGAGGACATGTAAGAGCACAGGTCCCCCCAGTCCTTCTGTATTTTTTTGCATTAAACTTTCATTAAGTGCAATGAGAGCCATTCAATTCATTTCTTTCGGATTCATCTTTTCTCTCCCTACACAGTGCTCTACTTTGGTAAATAATTATATAAATAAATATTGCAGGCTAGATGAAAGCGAAGATGAGAAAGAGATAAACTCTTTGGAAATTGAGAACTTAATTGGTGTTCTTATGGGGAATGTGTGACCACACAGCTGAAGATATGACCTTCTTAACCGGAGTCCAGGAAATAAATCTGTAAAGGTTTTGACATTTCTGCCTTCTCATGAAGCATATGATAAAAAATTACGGTCAAATATAAGGAATAAAAAAAGTAACAATACACTGTCTGCCAACATCAAACTTTTAAATCATCTTTTCAACCAAAAATTGAACTCATAGGTCAAAAAATAAATTATGCAAAATGGAATTGCTCTATAATTTTTGATCTCTCTGAGGATGGGTCAAGCGTCAGGTGCTGGCTGGATCCCCTGTTCTTTGAACCCAAAGTTAACAGGAGCCACACTAACAGATCAAGGCCCACAGTTCACTGCACATCGCAATCTGATCTGTTCTGACCTTTGGCCAGGCAAACCATAATCACTGGCACCTATTTTATAAATTAAACAATGGAATTTCAGAAGGATTAACTCAAGCAGGGTCTGTGCATCAGTCACATTGTGAGGCTAAGTTCTGCCAGCACAGGTCAAAAGAGAGAAAGGATGATTTTTCTACCATAATTTTTTGATGTACAGTGATTGTTTCTTAGTATATTTTTCCCACTGTTTCAGGTGCCCTCCCAAATAAGCAGACACTTTGTACTTCAATCAGAAAAGCCCATTGTTCTGAAGATTGTGCTGAGATGTGGGACCATAAGTGGAACCTGATTTTCCCTCAGGACTTCAGCAGTGTCTTCAAAGAGGCTGTGATCCTGAACATCAGAGACTGGCATTGCTTTTCCACAAGTTTTAATTCAAATAAATTAATATTGACATTCTTCTGAATATTACTTTTTAATATTTCTTCTACATGTTTCAATTATTAAAAAATTACTGCATATTGAACATTGAACCATTTACCAACAGCCATTTATGATCTTTGCCAGCGTCAGACACCAATTCAAGAAAAACATGAGAGAGGATTTAGAAATTTGTATCCAAAACAATTTTATTTACATAATCAATATGAAAGCTTTCATTATTTAAAAAGTAACATATGTTAATTTTCAGGATTCTTAATGTTCAAGATAAAAAAATCAACAAGGTAAACCATATTAAAGTTAAAAACAACTTTTGCATTGCTAAAATTTCCATGAGTGTTTTTATTATTGACTGTTATCAAGATGACTGAGCTTTAAAAATTACCTTGAAGATTAAATGTAGTCTCAAACATACTCCAAGAAAAAAATTTAACAGCTTTATTGAAATTAATGTACATAGCATATAATTCACCCATTAACACATCCATTTATCAGAGGTTTTAGTACATCCATAGAGGTACAATTATCAAATTTTTGACGTTTATTCTACTTGCAAAAGAAACACTGTCTTAACTAGTGGTCATGTCTGAGTCCATCACTCTCTCATTGTATTAGTTTCTTAAAACCTCCAGTCCACATGGCCTCTATGCTTTTGTCTGTTCTGGGTATGTCACAGAAATGGACTCAGCACGTGTCATTTTTTAAAAGAGCTGAATGCCCCAAATATATTTTTGACCAAAAGGAAGTAAACATAGAAGCACCATTCTTCCATTGTAGTATAAATAATATATTTCAATAGTAGTTTTTAATAAGTTTGTTATTAGAAGAACACATCTGATTCAATTTAAGATCCATATAATAATAATTTCCATTTTATGAAATAGAAAATTACTTGACGAATTCAGGTATATTAATTTTAAAATTTATGTTTGCAATTATACCTGAGTGATGATCCACAATTTTCTGCCATAAAGCCAGATAAGGATAACCAAACACAGTTGGATTCATTAGATGATGAGTGCTTTACTCTGTAATAGCAAAAAATATACCAGTAAGTTATGTTTGGGGAGTGATCTATCAAACAAAAGCATTTTCCTATTAAAAAAGTGATACTCCTTTATGATATAATAATAGATAATGACTTTTTATATAGTAATATTATTAAAAACGTATTTGGAAAACAAACCATTCATTAATATTTATATTAATATTTTATAAACTTCCAACGTATTTCTGTATGTTCAAATATATTAACAATAATATTCTTCTGAAGTTTGCCTTTTTATATTTCTTCTTGTACATGTAATAATTATTCTTTAAAAAATGACGTACTGCATATTGAATGCTGAGCCATTTACCGACAGCCATGGATGATCTCTGCTAGAACGGGAGACGCCAATCCAAGATGAACGTGAGAACCTTAGAAATTTCTATCAGAAACAAATAATTTCATTTACATAATCAGTATGAAAGCTTTCATTAATTTTTAAAATAATGTATTTTGCAGAATTCTTAGTCTTCAACACAAAAAATCAATAAGATAAACCATATTAAAATTAAAAAGCACTTTTGTGTTGCTAAAAATTTCCATATTTTAAATACCTACTGAAAATTAACTCTGAGTTGTTTATTTTTAATATTCTCCTTTTTCTCATGTTAATAAGGGGTGTTGTGATTCAGGTAATATAGTTATTACCCACGCTAACAAACAAACCTAGCAAAATTTAAATAAGTTTGTAGAAACTATGCATTAAATTTTCTGGATACTGTGGTGGAAAAGAGTATTTTTCTAGTAGGTTTCTCAGAATTTAGATCTTAAAAATTATCCATTTACTTCTGAAGGAATAAATGACATGGAAACCAAAAATGTGATTTTTCTGGCCACCACACCATTGCTAGCTTAATAACTTGCCCCTTTCTGCGTGTATCAGTGGAATACTGATGATTCAGACAAAATCACATCGACTTATTTTCCTCTGTTTCTTTCTGACATAAACTCTTGAAATAATGAAAGACACAAGTACAGGGGGAATTCTGAAAGATAGGGGAAAAAAAAGAACACATTCAGTGCCCAAGATTAGAGAACTGCAATGTCAGGGCTTCTTAATGTCTATCATCAGCATAGGAAAAAACCCTTGGCCTGCAGGCTCCAGGCACACAGCCCAGCAATAATCAGTGGCTTCTGTGAGCTCAGTCTTCTGCATTAACAGGAGCCCCTCCAGAGACATCAGACAAGGCCGAAACCCATGGTAAGGGCGATCTCTCTGGAGGCCAGTCAGTAGTAAGCTGCAGTGGACGACAGGGCAAAGATGAACAGTGAGGTTCCACAAAGGGGATTCCAGGACTACAAATGCTCTATCTAGGAAACCTCTTTGTCCCTGAGAATATGGGATTTATGCTTCCCATCCAGAGTCAGCAGCTGCAGTGGATCTGAAACTGTTATCAAACTGAAGTGCTGATAAATCACCCCCAATCGTACAAGGATGAAAGGGAAAGTAAAAATGCATATAGCATGATTCCAATCACAGAAAGCTCAAAACCAGGCAAAATTAATTTACAGTAGAAATAGTCAGGAGTGGTTTAGGAGAAAAAAAGAACATGTGAGATTATTCACAGGGCCAGGGCAGCTGAGGCAGCAGAGCTCTATTTTGTGACCTGACATTAGTGACATCTGCATACTCACTTTGTGATCAGTTTGCACGATCATGAGATATTTAGATTTCTTTATGTGTGGCAAAATTAAATAGCAAAGGTTATTTCAGAAAAAACTTTTATATTAGCATGGCTTTTTAAACAAAGCAAAATCTGGAAATAATTAAATTGCATTAGCAGTAAGCAAATAATAATAAAATATTTTGAAGTCAAACAATAAAATACATAGACTTTTAAGTGTTTTATATATATATATAAGAATATGGATGAGTTGTACATATATAATATTAGCTGAAATAAAGCTTTTAATAAATTTTTAAGCCCTTAAAATCTTACCATTTCTTTCTCATCATCTATATAAATCAGGTTAGACTTCTTAGAAGTGCAGGATGCCAAACTCTCAGTCCAATTTTTCTTTTCCACACCAAAGTAATAACAATTGTTGGAAAATATTAGCCACTCATTTGGACAACGACCACAATGATATGCTGAAGAAAGGTTGTGGACTTCTATCAAGAAACATTGTGAAGTTTTATAATTTAAAAATAAGTTTACATGTTTGCATTCATATAAGCATGTAACATATATAAGTACCCCAACAGACCAGTACTTGTAAAACAAAGCTAACACACACAAAAACACAGGGAAGAGTCAATCGGCCCATCAATCATTTATGTCTCCTTATAAAGCAAGCAAAGAAACACATTACATCCTACAAGTATTTTCTTTTTCTTTTTCCTTTTTATCAGTACTGGGGATCGAACTCACGACCGCCTGCTTGCAAGGCAGGTGCTTATGCCGCTGAGCTAAATCCCCAGCCCCCCCTAACAAGTATTTTCAAAAATGGTGAACAACTCTAAAACGGTAAATCTACTATTTGTCTTTTTTCATATTATATGAATAAGAAATTGAGCTAAGATTGTGTACCAATGTTAAATGGTGTTTTTTTCATAATATAAAACAAAAAGGAATATTTTCCTGTGATCCTTATGTATGAACAGTCAGTGCCCATTTTTCCAGTTTCTTTTCCCATAAGAATTCTACTAAGTTCTTTTCATAGGTTCAATTAGCAACAAAATAGAGCATTGAATCATACCTTTCTGTGTTCTTGCCAAGGAAGAATTGTTCTCCAGGTGTATTACACTAGCTAAAAAATAAAGTAATTCTTGTAAAAATTAATATGTAATATGACTGTATTTTCTTAGTTTAAAATTTATATGCTGTGCAGAATCACAACTTTATGGAATAAAATTTCTTTAACCAAGAAAATTAATAAAGTGGTGAAAGATGTTTGGAAAGTATTTCATAATTACACAGTATAATTACATAATATAAGTTAAAACAAATCTACAATTTTCTTGTCATTTATAGTTTTGATAAATTAAGAACAGCCATCCATATTTAGTCCAATACATGAGAGTTCCATTGCCTGAGATTACAAAATGTTTGCAGGCAATTTTAGTGATTAATGTAAAACATTCCTTTATTAAGTTCCAAAAATATTCTTACGGGAAATAGTGATTGTCACTGTGACCATCATAGTGACTTTTAAGCAGAGGAGTCCCAGGATCCCAGCAGTGAGCTTCTCTGGAGATGACAGAAAATATGTAAGAGAAATGGAAGCAGTGAGAGAGATCCTTCGTGTCACACATAGGAGAACTGGGATGCATGGGGAAACGTAAAGGTGGACCCCAAACCCACAATTACACTCATAACCTGCCTTTAGGGTATCCTGCAACATTTTCAGTGAACATAATGCTCCCTAAATTCTTCCTCAAAGACTAGAACTTTCAACAGTGTCTAAATAAAACTACTCTTCATGCCTTAAATTAGAATAACACAGCTCAATTTAGAGCTCCTGTCCTCAAAAATGAAATAGGTGACTTTGTTTCCTGCTTGCTTTACCCACACCCTTGAAACTCAGTTACCACACCCTTGAACAGTGACACTGGCAAGGGAAGAAAATTTTTACCTTTGCAGTGGCGGCTCATGTCATTGCTCAGAGATTCTTGAGAGGCATTTTTAAGGTTTAATTCCACGTGGGTTATCTCCTGATCAGTTAGGGAAACGGGACTTTTAGCCTCCATAGGTTTCCTTTGTTGTTTCTTGGCCAGATAATCCTTGGTCACTCATTTCTGCAGATGAGCAGTGTCAGGGACTGAGCTCTGAGCATTGCGCTTCAGAGGCTAAGAAACAGTGAGTGCAGTGGTGCGCTCCGTAGTGCAGTTACAATGGGTGAGTTAGGGTGGGGTGGGGTGGGGGGTGGAGAGTGAAGGTTGATTGTTGTTTTAAGAGGAAGGAGCTAAGACTTTCCCTAGGATCTCAGACATGTGTTTCATGATAAGATATGATTGGTGGACAATAAAAACAACAAACTAAGATATTCATGAAAAAGAATATAGAAATAAGTTAATGACAGTTTTCCTAGGAACATTTTAGTACCATAAAGAATTTTAATATCCATCTAAAAATTATAGTGCTATACTAAAAGTTATGCATCAATTTTTATGATAAATTGAAATGCAATAATAGTTTTAAAATTGAGTTTCTAAACATGTAACAAAAGAGGTGACATATATTAATTTTTGCACTTTATTACTTTAATAGATTATATTTATTAAGATGATTTAGAGAGCATTAAATGGTCTTTAATATTTGAGGAATTTTGAGATGGTATTAAATTTTAAGTATATTGTATAAACTTTAAAAGTTATACACAACGATCCAACCAAAAACATTAATATGGTCAGCTATTTAACACCCCTAAACACACTTGCTGTTGTATCCTTTAGAGCTCTTTTTTCCCCCCTCTCTTTTGCAGTCTCACTGTTTGAATGTCCACTTTGTATTCTTTGATACTGTGATTTGAGCAACTATTTCTAAGATGATAATATATAATCTATTAACTGGTGATTTCTTACTGTTTTTTTTTTTTTGTAGTTCTGTATTACTTTTCCCTTACACCGCTTTGTTTTGTTTTGTGTTTTTCTCTTTTTCTTTTTAAATAAAATTTAAAAAAAGTTATATACAACATAGAAAATCCTAGAAGTACTACACAAGTTATTTTTAATATTTATTTTAATAAAATGGTAATTACTGTAATAACTAAAATATGAAATTGTAAAATAGTAAATTAAAGATTGAGCTTAGAATATTTTGGTTCTAACTTCCAGAAAGAGTTTATGGGTGTTTAAATTGTTGAGAATCACTTTAGTTTGTAATCAATTGTAATCAATTGTAGTAATTTAATTATGTAATTTAATAGCTGACACAATAGGTCCTGGAGTCAGTGATATCTAGAAGTAACACTGGCTTTTAACAACATGCAAACTTTTAAAAGTTAGTAAACATCTAATAAACTAATTATGCTTCTAAAATGAAAATATGAATGTATCATATAATACATATAAAGCAGTTAATATTGTGAAGAAGGCTCTTAAAACTCTAAAGAAATGTTGGTTATTTAAGTTACTATTTTAGTCACAATTGCTTTGTAGTTGTGTAACATGAGTTAGACCATGTAAAAATAAGTCATTAGACAGGGATCTTTTATCCATGTAGTATGTCATTTCTCAATATTTTTATCTATTGTTAAAATCATATGATTCTTTAGAACTATCTAGCATTGTGTGTGTGTGTGTGTGTGTGTGTGTGTGTGTGTGTGTATATGTGTATGTGTGTGAGAGAGATTTTGAGGCAGAGTCCCACTATACAGTTCAGCCTGGCCTTGAGCTCATTTTGTAGCTCAGGCTGATCTCAAACTCTCAATGATCCTCCTGCCTCAGCTCCTAAGTGCTGGGATTACAGAGGTGCAGCACCACGCCCAGCTGAATTGTCTAGTATTTTATGAAATGTACTGATTTTATTTAAATATAACAATTAATTTTACATAATATAATTATCTTTGATACTATATTTGGCCTTCATTATTCAATGAATTTCCTTTTAAGAATCTATAGTGGTTGGCCTAAATATAAATTAGTATATTATTTTTCAAAGGTCCACAATGTATGGATTACAGTATTCAAAAATAGCTCATTATCACGATCTTCATATTAAATTGTGTCAATTAATAAATCCAAATATGTGTTCATGACCCTATCCTTCACAGGCAATAAACAGACTATTGTAAGAAACCTTCAATTTTTTTTTTTTTTTTTTTTTTTTTTGAGACAGAGTCTCACTATGTAGTTCAGGTCGGTCTTGAACTCACTTTGTAGGCCAGGGTGGCCGTGAATTTGAGGTAACCTTTTTGCCTCAATTTGAGTGCTGGGATTACACGTGTGTGCCACCACACTCAGTCCCAGTGCATTTTTTTGTTTTAGGACTTTTTCCTGAATCACTTGAATAAAGACATCGTGTTATTCTTAGATTTTATTATACAACCACTATACCTCAGTTACATCACATCTGCAATCTCTTGTTATCCAAGTTGAACGAGTAGAGAGAACAGCCTGTAATTTACATTGTCAGAAAATCACTTACCCTTGAATGAGAAAGCCTGCTTACTCACGTAAGAAGCCTGCTGTAACTAATAAAATAAGATGAAATTTAATGATGGAAATCCAGCACAAGCGAGGTGTGGGCGTGCGCCGTGCTTATAATCCCAACACTTGGGAGGCTGAAGTAGGAGAACTTCAGTGAGTTCAAGAGCACTTTGAGTTACATAGTGAAACCTTGTCTCAAAAAACAAATAAACGAACAGTACAGGACAAGAAGGAAGGAAAAAACGAAAGTCAAGCAGTTCAAAGCCTACCCTGTGTGACAAACAAGTGCAAAGTAGATTTCTCACCATCCTGACATTTACTCCTTAACAGGAAATTCTCACACTTGTGCTTGTGCTTTTTTGAAGTGAATTCATCTCGTCACATTTCCAGAATATAGGACCCTTTGGGCACTTGATGAAAAGATAACAAGGGTTTTTAAGTGTTTCATTCAGTTTGTTCATTCACAAGCATTTCTGAAAGTTGTTTACATGCTCTGTATCTTATTGGGAACAGAGAAGCCTAACCATCCTTGGTGTCAATTTGTTTACATCTCAGCCTCAATAATTGTCATGTAGATTTTAAATTCTACTTTTGGATTAGGTTGTCACCTCAGTGTCTGCATTTCATATACACGTATGGCAATATAATTGTATAGCGTTATATATACATAGCAAATGATACATCCTTATTAAATCACTTACATTATAATTGAAAAATAAACATCTAAATAAAACATTGTTAATAAATATATAATGATTTAATTATTGTGAGTGATCACCAAATTTTCAGTTTATTTTAGCTGGTACAGAAGCCACTATCGCCAAATTTGTCTTCTCAGTTTTTCTAATGAATTCTTAAAATTCTTACATTTCAGCTTCTTTTCAAACAAATTATTTAACTTGACTCTACTGGAATATGTGACTTATAACTGAGTGTTATGCTAGTTCAACATGCTAGAAATTAAAATATTAAGTAACCAATCATTGTATTATTCATTCATTCATCATGACTAAGGTCTATATTTTATTTTTATTTTATTTTACTGAGGTTTGAACTAAGGGACTCATGCATGCTAGGCAAGCACTCTACCACTGAGCTACATTCCCAGTCTGGTCTGTGCTTTAATAAGAATATTTATCAGTAAATGAGAAAAATCCTATTTAAACTATGTAGGGTAAGAAAAGTAAGTTTTAAAAACTTGCTCTAGGAGGTAGCATCAGTGAGCTGGGGAAATGTGAGCTTCCATTCTCATATCCTCTCACAGCAACACTAATTTTGAACCTATCGTTACATGAAAGGTTTTTGTGGAAGCTTTGGAATTCAGGTCAGAATTTGTAAAACTCCTTTTCAGTCTAAAATTGCGGATAGATGCTTGGGGAATGTAAACTGACATTCATGTGGCAGATTTGTTTAAAGTGATTCCATCTTCAAACAAAGAAATGGCCTCATCTCTCTGTGGCCTCAGCTCAATCCTGTTAGGCTTTGGTCCTGCTATGTACAGAATTTTCCAAGGGGCATGGAAGGACTCATACACATCAGCACCTCAGGAGAGACACCACTGCTCTCAGGACTGGCTGGATATCCAGAAATAGCCCTTTATATTAGGTCCAGCTCCTTTTGGCTTCAGTCTAAGATGAGATCTGTCTCCAGAGAGACCTCTTAGTAAGACACCTGTCTACATCCTCCAGACAGGCATGCTGATATCAGTTCCATAGCAGACATTGATTTGTGCCTGCCAAAACTCAGATTAAATGTGGTCGTCAATTTTTTGTGTCCAATGTGAAGAGATCTTGGGGCCCTTGAGATATAATTGGGTCAGGGGTTCTCCACACTAACACAGAAATTAATGTAATTCCCACATGACAGATATGTTGCAATTTGTACAATTGTTTTATAAAATCTGTTCAGGTTCCTTAGCTTTATTTCTCTCTCTTGTTTCTTTTCTCTCCATGTGTCTCCTCTCTTCCTTATACATGTGCTTTAGTGGCATGCAACCCTCATCAAAAGATGAGCAGTTTGTGGCACCCACTTGAGCTCCAGAACCGTAAGTCAACATAAACCACTATTTTTACATAGTGAATAGACTGGTTGTTTTGCTCTAGTAGTAGAAAACATATTTATCAGCCATAAATCTATGGCTCATATTTTCTCATAGAAAAATAGATTTATTTTTTGGTTTTATTCTTAATCCCCTCCACTCCTTTTAACTCCTCCTCATTTATATTTTTTCTTTCTAGTTTCTTTCTTATTCTCTCTTCCTTTTCTCACTCCCTCCTCACTTTCCCCCCTTCCCATTTGAGTATTTTCTTACTATTTCACAATATCTATTATATATTTTGAACCTCATATACCACTTGAGTTTCTCACATCAGAGAAACAATGTGATACTCAAATGTTTGTCTGATTTGTTTCACTTAAGAGTATGGTACCAAAGTGTATTCATATCTAAAAATGTCTTAAATTTATCCTTCTCGATGGCACACCTTCTTTATCCATTCATTAGATGGTGGGCTTTTTGGCTATTTCCAAGACTTAGCTATTACAAATTTTGCTGCTGGAAACATGATGTGCATATATTGATGTAGTCTTATGCTTTTAATTTTTCCAGGAATATACCAAAAAGGGAAAATGCTGGGTAAAATGGGACTTCTGGTTTTATTTTTTTAAGGAATACCCACACTTTTCCACAGTGGTTGGTTGCACCATTGTAAATTCCCATCAACACTGGAAAATGTTT